AATTAATTCGATATGTTGATATATATTACAATAATAAATCTTGTTGCTATGCAAGGCTGTGGCAGAGATGCAGTGTATTGTTCAAGAGTTTCTCTATGTACTACTTTTTGCACGTTAAAAAGTAAATTATCTTGCATTCATTAAAAAATGTGATATTTTCCATTAATAAAAAATTCTGAATTATGATAAGTATGTTGTTTTCAACCTTAAAGTGAAACTGCTTACCAGCGACCGCGCGTTAAAAGCCTCTCAAAAGCGGTAATTCCGTCCTCGGCTCAACTCCTGGCGAATGGACTGGCTGCATGAGGCTGCATGGTTTTCTCGGATTTAACCATGTATAAAGTGGATAAGTGTCAGTTTCCCTTAAAATTTTTCCGCAAGGCATCCCTCCTTTTCTATGTAGTGCCTAACGGTGGAGCACGTAATAAATAAAATAAAAGTGAAACAAAGTTCCAAGATGCACTGAATTACAAAAGCTATCTTTTATGCAAAATAATTTATCTTACAAAGTTTGTCGTACAAGTAGTTGCAAGAGTATTAAGCATTCATTTTTGATTCCAGTTTTTAATTTTTAATTTTAGTTAAAGCAGATTTATTTGCATTTCTGTTTATGAAATGTTCTGCAGTTACAATTCAAAAAGGTATGTAGTCAGATATCTGTTTTAATTCCCATTAATTGCATCTTGTAAGTCATTAATGCTTATATTTTGAAGGTAGAATTTGCCTTCGAGAAGAACAGCTCCGGCGGTCGCTATAGCAACAAGGTTAGTCTATTTGAAGTAGGGTCGAACCAAGGATTACTTTATTGTTATATAGTTTTTGGCGACTGTTGGCTTAGCGGAAAAGAGCTATCATTCGTCTTCAAGACACCCCTACGGAAAATGGGTCAAGACTCCTTTCTACGGCAACAGAGAGATGCAGACTAACTGGCGAGAGCTTTTCTTATGATAGACAGACTGTATGTAATCTTTTTCTAGGAACTATAAAACATTTTAGTAACATTAGCTTCAATTTTTTAGATATTAAGCCTAAATTACCATGACTGTTATGCATGAATTTAGCAGGTAACTCTATGTAAATATTATATGTACTCTAATGGTATACATGATTGCATCCCACAGCATTGAGTATGTCAAATTATTTAATGACAAGTACTGATGCATTATTATGTGTAAATCTGTTCAACTGTATCATACTTAAATTCACACGACTGTTATACATGAATTTAGCAGGTAAGTATTTTATGTGTAAATATTTTATATAATATTTACTTAAATTCGCATGACTGTTATGCATGAAATTAACAGGTTACTTCTATGTAAATATTATATGTACTTTAATGGTACACATGATTGCATCCCACAGCATTGATTATGTGTCAAATTATTCTTATTTAATGATAAATAACTGTATGCATTATTATGTGTAAATCTGCTCCAACTGTATCATATACTTAAATTCGCATGACTGCTTATACATGAATTTAACAGGTAACTTTCTATGTAAATATTCTTAAGCACCTTTAATGGTATTCATGACTTACATCACCACAGCATTGATTATGTTAAAATTATTTAATGACAAGTACTGTATGCATCATTACGTGAAAATTTGTTCAACTGTATCATATTTAAATTCGCATGACTGTTATGCATGAATTTAGCAGGTTACTTCTATGTAAATATAATATGTTGTACAGTAATGGTATTCACAATTGCAACCCACAGCACTGATATGTCCATAGTATTCTTATTTAATGACAAGCACTGTATGTAAATTTGTTCAACCGTACCACACTTAATTTAGGTGTGTGTTACTGGGATACATACCATGTCTGTTATGTATGAATTTAGCAAGTAATCACGACAGCAAGTTAGGACTTAATTCCCTATCGCACACATTTCAGTGTAACTGTATCATATATGTCCTTATGTGTATATCAAACTCAAGTATTTTAATGTTAAGTTTTGATATGTATTACTACGCTAGCATAGCGATAAGCCTTTGTATGGCCATGTATTGTTTGATTAGAATCAGTAAGTACTGGGCCTGGGCAGCTGGTCGAGAGTGCAGCCTTGCTGGCGGATTGGACAGCAGCACTGCAAACGGGACGCGTAAGGCAAACCGCACATTGAGTTGATCAATGTTAAACAAATTTCGCTAACTGCGCATGCCCAGAATAGAATTTGGCGCAATTACAACTTTGGCGCAAAGTTTTAAGATAAACGATAAACGGTGTATAGTAGGTTGATATTGTGTTATCCGTGGGCGCGTAAACAGTTCGAGTGTTTTAAAACTTGTTAGGTTGTAAGTTGCTTCATTACTTACTTGTGATTAAAATTATCGATTGTAAACTACCGCACATTTTTCGTTTAAGAAGGATTACAAAACAGGAAATATTACAAGATAATTAGCCGAATGCTTATTGATTATACTTCTGAGGAATAAAAGCAATTGAGCATTTACTATACGTTCATTTCATATATACTGTCAAAAATTAAGGAATAAATCCACTTTAAATTACTGAATTAAAGTCAAATAATTGATAATAAATTAAATGTTTATGAACAAAATAAAACAGAACGAAGTGAAACAGAAGCACATGAAATAAGCACACACAAATTTCCGTAGTACTGCAATTGTAAAACAGTAAAACCAATATGACTAACAGGTTTGTGTAGGGTTGCCCTCCCCCCGCCTTAGTCGCCAGTATTTCCTCCCACGCCAACGGTACACCACTGAGCATGCGCACTAAGCGAAATTCGTTAACATTGATCAACTCAATGTGCGGTTTGCCATTACGCAAACGAGACCCCCACGTGGCTCCAAATGGTCAACTCTAGATAAGGGCGGACATGGTGCTATTACCGGTTAACCTTAACGGTGGAGGGATGGTGCCCACGTCCTCCGTTACTACTACTACTACTACTAGATATTAAGCCTCTCGTATGTGAAATTGAGAAATCTTAAGTATGAAATACTGATATATTAGTGTGTAATGAATGATGTAAGGAAAATTTTACAAATGAAACACGAAAGTTTTAATCATTTCTTGACTATAAATGTTTTTTATTTTATGTATCTATTTTAATATAAAGACTGATTTTTTTTATAAAATTTTGCTTTTGTGTATTATGTTTATTATTTAAAATATTCATATATTTTTTTTTACTTGATGGAAAATATTGTGTCATGTATATTTAGTAGAAAGAACAGATTAAACGCAATTATTAGTGTTGAAAAGCTGGTAGTGTTGATTAAAGAAAATAATGGATTTGTTTCCTGTTAACATATACTCTTAAGATTTCATTTACAGCCCTTCTGAAACATACAGCATACATATTTCAGTTTTAAACTTTTAGGGCATTGATATAAATTTTGACATATAAACACATATTATTGTTTAGTTTTGCTTTGAAATTAATAATTACTCTTATAATGAAATGCTATATAAGGTAATCTTTAACAAATTTAAGACTACTTTATTTCAGGTTACTTTATAAAATACAACCTTAATTAGCAATAATTTTATTTAAAAAGGCTCATTTTATTGAATTTTGTGTAAACTAAAATTATCAATGAACGACAGCAATTTGCTTTCAAATTGCACTGCATCTTTTTATGTACAAATAAATACCAAATAAAGGTTGAATTTTCTAGTTTTTGAACAATTCAGTTATTAGCAACATAATTAACAACATTCATATTTTATTTGCATTTTACTGTATTGAGAAAGAAAGATGGGAAAACATGAAAACAACAGAACATTCACTTTTCGTTCAATTCCCTTAAATTACTCTTTCATATGCTTTTGCATACTAACGTTTTCGTGTAAGAATTTCGCATTCCTTCACATGAATTGATTTTACTAGAGTTTAAGAAGAAATATCATGTTTCCCTATTCTTTTCTTGACTTCACTTGGAGTACATATTCCATAGGATTTAAGTCCGAAATATATGGAGGAGTTTTCATAATTTCAGAATAACTGGGTAAAAACCACAAGTGAAAATTTAGGACTGTATATTTAGAATAGTTGTTCTGACAGAATTTAAATGCATTTTGCATTCCAAGTTTTCTAGGAAAAGCTTTCAGATTTTTATTAAGAATATTTATACTGATCCATATTTACTATAAAAACAAAATTTGCCAACCAAGAACAAAGAGAAATTTATTTTTATTTATTTAAACCATTATGCCTATACTCCCGTGGTTAACAGTAGTTTATTAGTCCAAAGGGGCTTTGTCCCTGAAGGACTATTGTTTTCGTTTTGCGATTTTGCGTCGGACTCATAAACGTCGGTTCACTTTTCAAACTGTTGCCACAAAATGTTAGAGTCCTGCATTATATTTGAAGAAATTAAATATAATGAAAAATCTGCATGAATGATTGTCTATTTCTCGCATTGTGATAAAACAATGGTACATAGAGCCATCGAATTTTGAATGACGAAATCCTACTGCGAATATGGGCATCTGAAATCCCAAATTTGGAATTTGTTTTATTATAGATTTTATATTTTGTAAAACTTTAACGAATTTTTGATTTACAAACTCAATGCTTTAAAAGCGAGAAATGACAACGTTATATAGAAAAAAATACTTTTATCTCCAGCTCGCGAGACTGTGTATATCGGAAATTCTAAAGATATGCTTAATTTAACATTATTTGCGATATTGCTCTTGAACTGAATTTTATGGTTTAAGTGCAAAGAACATGATATTTAATAAATAAAGGTAACACTCAAAACGTTAAAAAAACGCCCCTTTGGACGTAATTTAAAATCTGAAATATTTCAGATTTCTTACTATTTTTTTTTAATTTTCTCACACAGTAAATCGTCTATAGGACCCTAAATAAAATACATTTTGACTTGTTTGCAAATGGAATATTGTTCTAATCTGATAAATATTTGCTTATCATGGGTTTTTTGAACGCCAGGTATATTTTCCTTGTTGGTGAAAAATTTCCTTCATGTTTTATGCATAAAGAAGTTGCAACTACATTATTCATTATGTTTTATTCAACTATTATATTGCTAAATAAAGAATTAGACAATGCTTATTAATATTATTGACATTTGAGAGCATAAATATCCATATGAATATAAGATAATTAAAGTTACAACAAATGATTTTGAGAACAAAAATGCATAAAAACAAAATGCCGTCAAAGATTTAAAAATCTGTTATAACTCTCAAGTTTGCTAATTTTCATTTCAGGTAGAATGAAAATCGTCTGTTTATATCATCATCTAACGTGTTCAGTTGCCATGGATGTTAAAGTTCGAAGGCAGCAATAATTTTCTTCAGAGAGAAACGTCAGTTAATAGAGTTTAGAGATCAGTTTAAGGCTCGGTTTCGTTTGGTTTATATTTTGGTTTCCGACATAAAATCAAGAAGTATTTTCGTTGATAAGCCAAAGATGTTTCTTCTGGCATTGAACTAACTCCCAAAATATCCATTATGCTGCAAAATAAAAGACGCGGATTAGTATAGGAAGATCTCTATTAAGAAATTACATTTTGCGAAATTTTATAGTCTTAAACGCTCAGAACACTGAGTGATACTGACTGGACCAGTCAGAATACTGAGTGATTCAGCATCGAGCCTACTGGCCATTAAAGAACTCAGCAGTAAAGCGGATTCTGTCCACACTATTAGGGGATACTCTATTTCAGATCCTCGAGTTCCAATGACCGTACCTGAGCTGGGTTCCAGCGCATGTAGGCATTGCTGGAAACGAAGAGGCCGATAGGCTTGCTAAGCTAGCAGCTAACGACTTGAATATGCTTGAAACATCCCTAAAAGCACCAGTTTCCTATTTAAAAAAGATTACAGAACTCAAAATACTTTTCGTTTCTTCCCCAAAGTTGGTCTGAATCTGGTCGCCAGTATTGCTCATCTTACACACTTCTTTACTGGACACGGACCATTTCCAAGCTACTTACGGCGCTTCAGATTAGCTACTTCAGACAGTTGTAGATGTGGAACACTATGTGATCCGGATCACTTTGCTTTCGAATGTTTTCTCACGACACCATTTCATTAAAAAAAAAACCCTCTGATGCACACAGGTCCGGGTGGTCAGCCACCCTGAAGAGAAGTAAGCTCGCATTTAATCAGATTCATCGAGTGATGGACATTTGTGGTCGTGAATTCTGTTGAACAGAAGTGGTGTCAACAGCAGGTACAGCAGGCAATTCTAAACCAACAACTACAGAAGATCAGTAGCTTTCATAATTCTTACTTTACAAATTTGGTATCTTACTATATACGATAATGTTCAACTACTCAAATTGGGACAATTTCAGACACTCTAATGGCATGCCTTTGTACTTATGCTACGTATATGCATGACAGCCATGTTTAGTGCAGTACATGAATAACTTTGCTGGAACATGTTACCATTTAGATGCAGATTGTCACAATCAATGTCTGTCTATTTGTACTTTGGTGTCGCTTCTATTCAATATTAATCTTTACATTTTATTGCGTTTACTTAACTTTTGTATTGTATTCTGTGTATTTCAATTTGCATATTGTCTTATTGTATTGACCTGTTAAGTAGGAAGTTCGTTGTGTTATGTTTTCAAATAAGTTTGCGGTATAATAGTGAATACATATATATAGAGCTCTCGGCTAGTACCATGAAATATCGTGTGCAAATGTTTTGTTACAGTTTCTAGTATTGTGAAAAATAGTTTCTAACAAATATTCGTAGCCGCAGAACCAACTTTCTGATAAGCACATTGTATATTGATTGTTATTTTGTAGTATTCGCCATTTCATTTCAGTGTATGTACAGTATTTCATTAAATATGTTGTATAATTTATTTTCTACTAGCAGCTTTGCCGCCAGCCTTCGCCTGGCTTTTAAATGCACCGGAAAAATGGCTGAAGGGAACACCAAACGTTAAATTTAAAAACTGCGTATAAAAAAAAGTTATTACGTATAACAAAATTACAATGAAATAAGCAATATTCCTTAATACAAATATTAATTATCCTAATAAATAAATTAACCAACTTCCCTTTGCAAAATCTTAAGAACTCAAATGGTATAAAGGAGGTTAAGAACTTTGTTTCCTTCCTAAAAAAAATCACTCAAAACTTTTCAATATCATTAAAACAGTGAAATGAGTAAATAAAAACATAAAGAATACAAAAAACAAAAAATTTGAAAAGCAAAGTATATAGATATTTTAATCTTACATTTTCAAGAGAAAAAAATTACAGTGAAATAAGCTATAGCCCTTATACAAATATTAACTATCCTAATAAAAAATTACCAACTTTTCGTTGAAGAAAAAAAAAATCATGCAAAAACTTTTCATATCTTATAAATAGTGAAATAAAAATAACATGAAAGCAACTCAAAAACAAAAATTCCGCGCAGAAGATTTACTATACAGAACAACTTTATCAAAAACACTCAATAAAAATATAAAAATGGCAATGAAGTATGCCAATCTCTTAAAAATAGTGACATAAGAAATACGATGAAAAATTGTTGCCAAACCCATATTTCTAAAAGGATGAAACTTTTCAAAATGATGCGATTTCATCAAAAATCTATCAAAAAATATAAGACAGGAAAATTGTTGCCAAAATCACATTTTTAAAGATGTGAGAAGTGTACTTGAAAGCTTCACCTAAAAAAACTTTTTAAATACAAAATATTGTCATTTTTCCCAAATTCTTTTTGTAAAAGCAGTCGGAAGGATGAAAGCTTAACGTGTTCAAAAATCAAAGAAAAATAAACTGTACACTTTTAAAAAAAAACTTTTTAGAAAAAATCCCGTTTTGAAAAAGTGTTAAGCTCACTTTGTTAAATAAATTCGTATTTAATCGATTTATTGAAACACGAAATTTTTTTAAGTTCGTAAAATAGCTCAGTGCCTACGTTTCATGACGATGTGAAATGGAGTGTGTAGTAAATCCTCGCTTTCCTATAGCCTGTTATGTCTCAAAATGACGCAATTTCGTCACAAAACATAAAATTAAAAAAATTCTAATTCGAATTTCGAAAAATTCGCTTCGAGGTGCACTGGCTCTTGTCTAGATGCACCTATGTGCCAAATTTCGTCTATTAGCTTACGCGCAGCGCAAACGAAAGACACACACAACACAGACAAACTCTTTCTTTTATTATATGTAGAGAAGAAGAGAAGATTAATGTGGAGTATAATAGTTTAGTGTTGTATAATGATAAGTAAGTGTGATGTATAATAGTAGTATTGAAAAAGACTTTCTTGGTTGTAGAGCTTTGTAAATATGTATTGAAATGTATTACTGGATTTTATGTTTTGAATTGACTCAGTATTCTGGCTCTGCTATAATATATTTTCTTCCTAATTTTCACTGTGACTGCTTCCAAAGGATATTGTCTAGTGTTCTTTTGATTAGTTTTAGCGTTACAGTACAGCGTTATGTACAGAATTGTCTACTTTTCCGATACGAGCAGTGTATATGGTGTGTTTTATTTGTAGTATCAGCTTTACTATGTCAATGTGTTGCTCAGTATTCTAGTAATGCATTGCATAATTTTTTTTTTTTTTTTTTTGTAATGCGCGTGTTACGAATTTGGTATTTAAAAAGCTAATGTTAGTTCAATTATAAATTAAATGGTTTTATTTCTCGCGCAGTGCAGCGCGTGACGAATATTAAAAGAAAGCTAAGCCGGAAAAATTAAAAATACAAGAGCGCGTTCGTTAATAAATAAAAAATATCTCTTTTTGATTTCGAGAAAGTGCTGGAAAATTCTAGCGCGTGATTTTAAAATCTTATAAAAGGAGGAAAAAACATCTCAGTTTGTAGTAGTTGCTTAGTTTGTTGTTGTTTAGAAAACTGCTCTTGTTGATTATAGCGAATTCGCGGATTAGCGTTCTTTAGCTGTTTTGAATTACGTTCTATTGGACATTTGAGTAGTTAAAAGATAAATACTGTGAGATATTGTATACTGCATGATAATTTGAGAAAATTTAAGCATTTTTGTTGTGATAATAATAAATTTTTGTTCATTTTTCATCGGACTTGTGCATTCATTTCATAACGAACCCGTACGCACGCAACAATTTTTGGTGTCAGAAGTGGGGTTTGAATGCCAATAACAAGAGGGATGGAAGAACAATTGAGACAGCTCATTTACTGCTTTTGCTGCTTTCCAAGAAAAGATGGAAGCTGGCCAAAATCTTTTAAAAGAAGAAATTAAAGAGAAAATGGATGCTGGTCAAAGGTCCGTTAAAGAAGAAATGAAATTGGGCCAGGAATCCCTCAAGGAAGAAATGAAAACGGCACAGGAACAAATGAAGTTGGGCCAGGAATCCGTTAAAGGAGAAATGAAATTGGGCCAGGATTCCGTTAAGGAAGAGATGAAATCTCTTAAAATGAGATGAAAAAGCAGGTCAGAACGAAATGAAAAGAGAAATTACCTGCGTAATAGAAAATAAATTTGAGGCTATGGAAGGCAGAATAGACGCGGGTTGAAACTAAAGTTGGACAAATAGAAGAAAGAGTTTCTTCGGTAAAAGAACAAGTAGAAGAAAGAATTTCTTCTGTAAAAGAACATATAGAAGAGAGAGTTTCTGCCGTCGAACAACAAATTGATGATAGGGGCTTTCTGCTGCCGTCGCCAAAGAAGTTGACAGCCTAAAGAAAGTGCATAGCGACGGTAGGAAACAATTCTGAAGGTTTTAAATTTTTATCGATGCCTGCTCGTTCCGTTTCTGAAGCTATCTACATATGATGGGAAGACCTCCTGGCAGGTGTATAGGACACAATTTTCTATCGTTGCGGATGCGAATGGATGGGATTCCCAAGCTAAGGCCTGTCATCTCGCCGCTTCTCTGAGAGCAGACGCAGCGGATATCCTGCAGACGCTTCCCGAAAATCAAAGGTTAGATTTCGAAGCTCTATCCGGCGCTTTGGAGCTGCGCTTCGGCGAGAAATGTTTAAAAGACTACAGCAGGCTCCAATTAAAATCCCGTCAACAGAAGCCCACCGAATCACTTCAGGAGCTCGCCACGGATGTTGAAAGGCTGTCACATCACGCCTTTTCGGAGTGCCCGACAGAAACAAGGGAAATCCTGTCCCTGCAATATTTCATCGATGGCATCCGGGACCCTGAAATACAGAAAGCACTGCGAATGGCGGATGTTAAAGATCTGAAAAAGCGCTTTAGTGTACGCCATGAAATTGAGGCAGCCCAGCAAGCAACTCTTAGAGGATAGCTAACCGAGTCAGAGCTGTGCGAGTCCACGACCCAGTGGGACCAACTGATGGCTCGTTTAGATGATTTATCCAGACAAGTCGATGCTTTGATACGGAGTAGCAGTGAGAACAAAGTGGCTGTAAGATGTTGGAGATGTGGTTCTGAAGGTCACCTACGACGGCATTGCAGAACACCCCAGGGCAACGGATAATAAAACGGATGAGTTGACAAGACCAGTGAATGCTTTAAGACGGAATAGTGGTGAAACAAAACCGACCCTAAAGTGCTGGAATTGCGGTGTTTGAAGGCCACCTACGAAGGAACTGCAGAACTCCCCAGAGAACGGAAAATAAGGCATACGATTTAAACAGACAATTAAATGCCACGGCAAGGAAAAGGACTGACAAAAAACCAAAGTGCTGGAACTGTGGAGCTGAAGGCCACGTACGAAAGAATTGCAGAACACCCCAGGGTACGAAAATTGAGACAATTTCTGAGCAACGACGCAGGAAAACAAATTAATGACCATATCAGGAACGGAGTTGCCAGATAATGAAAAACCCCCCTGTTTTAAAAGCGCTTAAGATCTCTATAGTGAGTGGCAACAATAACGGACTGTCCATCAATGGGAATATCGATGGAGTTCCTTGCAATATGATCATTGACACAGGAGCTAATGTTACCATCATTAGGAAAGATTTAGCTGAACAGTTTAAAATATAAACTTATTTTGGACGCCATCCTGTGTTACCCTTCAGACTGTGTCTGGTGACAAGATCGACATAACTGGGAAGTTAAACGTAAACATCACGTTTGGAAGTGCCGCCTACCATCACACGGCATATGTGGCGGATATTACAGATCCATGCATACTCGGATTGGACTTTTTAAGGAATACAATTTTTCCTTAGATTTCAAAAACGATAAGCTGCTTTCAGCATCTGATGGGCATGACTATCCATCCTCAAAAGGGATCCTCGCCTGGAAATGTCGACGCCTTGTCCGAAAGATCGAGCTCGGGAAGCTGCCGAAATCATACCAGGGTCGAAAAGAAACTCAAGACTACCAGCTATCTCCATCCCAGAAGCTCTTCGGTCGAGACCTTCGTCTGCCTTGTGACCGCCTGTTTAGTCGCCCTACGGATGCGCCTTCATCGCCTGAGGAACACATCCAAGATGCCCAGGCCCGGTTTGAGGGGATGCACCGTTCTGCACGAAAGCGAGTCAACTTGGCGACGGAGAAAATGAAGACCAGATGCCACACAAGAGCTACTAGACAGAGATCCAACAAAGGAGACAAGGTGTGGTTGTGGAACCCGATTCAACGAAAAGGACTCAGTCCTAGACTACAGTCACCTTCGGATGATCCATGTAGTACAGTGCTGAACACGAATGACGTCGTGGTTCGGATCCGCGAGTCTTCGAACTCTTACGACAGGTTAGCTTATTACTATGGCCATAGTACGTAATGTAAATAATTGTAAATAGTATCAGACCATGGTCCTTTTTGTTTATAAATGTGTATTTAGTATTTGATTTGTATTTAGTATTTGTTTTGTATTTAGTATTTGATTTTTTTTAAGTTTTAGTTGGCATTTATTGTTTTATATTTGTTTGATATTGTAATATAATGTTTTTATGCCTCAGTTGCATTTATGCCACAGTTTGTAAGTTTAGCTTCCTGTCCAGGGATTGTACTGCCCGGGACGTGCAGTCCTTGGGAAGGGGGCAGTGTTACGAATTTGGTATTTAAAAAGCTAATGTTAGTTCAATTATAAATTAAATGGTTTTATTTCTCGCGCAGTGCAAGCGCGTGACAATATATTAAAAAAAGCTAAGCCGGAAAAATTAAAAATACAAGAGCGCGTGGGTTAAATAAAAATATATCTCTTTTTGATTTCGAGAAAGTGCTGGAAAATTCTAGCGCGTGATTTTAAAATCTTATAAAAGGAGGAAAACATCTCAGTTTGTAGGAGTTGCTTAGTTTGTTGTTGTTTAGAAAACTGCCGTTGTTGATTATAGCGAATTCGCGGATTAGCGTTTTTTAGCTGTTTTGAATTACGTTCTATTGTACATTTAAGTAGTTAAAAGATAAATACTGTGAGATATTGTGATACTGCATGATAATTTGAGAAAATTTAAGCATTTCTGTTGTGATAATAATAAATTTTTGTTCATTTTTCATCGGACTTGTGCATTCATTTCATAACGAACCCGTACGCACGCAACACGCGGAATTATAGTAAGTGTATAATTGTATAATAGTAAGTCAGTGTGATGTATAACTGCAGGCTTGAAATTCCATTGTTAGTCTTGAATTTTACTGCTTTTGTTTTACCCTTACCAGTTTTGTATCAATGCAGCTTTGTACTTCTAAGTATTTTTTTTAATCTATGCAATCAAGAATGTCATATGTATTCAAAATAGCGACTCTATAATTAAAAAAAAAAAATTAGACTCAATAAATGCTGTTATGGCTTCTGCAGGGTGGACATCATACTGCAAAGTCTTGTTCCCGGTCAGTAATCCTCCTTAGCAGTGTAAAAAAAAGTCTTAAACGCTCAAACGATTAAGAATTTTAACAGGTAAACTTACGAAAGTCATGAAAACAATTACTTTTCATTAAAATTATTTCCGAAATTTAGGATTTACAATATATTTCCGAAACCTAATGTCATGAAATATTTTGGAAAAGTTCGTTCGATTCCATCGAAGGGGAGCATTGCCATTCAAGGATTGTTTGATTAATAAGTATATTAGACCTGCCATTTCAACGTATAAATTAACAGCAATGGACGAAAGCCGAAATTTTATATAATACCAAAAATGTATGAAACTGTTAACATTTCACATATTTATAGGCATTCTAAAAAATGCCAAATGACAAAATCGACCATAGTATGAAATATATTTTCCATTCGTTTCGAATATTCATATATTCCATTCATAATCCATACATTTAATAAACTCATTCCCTATATCAATAGCTTTCATCCATTTTTATATATTGTTATCTTTCATAAGAAAACCACAAATTTTGTTTTATACAGCTCTCATTTTTCATTGAATAAAAATTTTTTAACAGCACTCTATTATTTTTTTTTAATAATAGTTGTATTTTTGTGGACATGTCTTTTGACTAATAGCTTTTTGACCTTTTCATATATTTTGCCTAAATAGCATTTCTCATTCTATAGAATGTCTAGTGTTTATGCCTACAGAAAATGCATAATTCTCATATTTTATTCTATAGAATTCCGATGTTTCACACATTACTGGTAACAAATGGTAACACTTGTGGCACCACTGGTGAAACACTGCTGAAAACCACCTGTGTTTACTGATGCATTTGCTCATTGCGCACTTTACATGCACATAGTCATGTATTTTGTTCGCAGGTAGATAGATGTACTACACCCAAACATGAACGAGTTCGACGATGGATCGCTGAAGTACAGGGATAGAACGAAATTTTTATAAAACTGATTTTTATGAATTGAAAAAATGTGAAAACATGGCTATTTGTATCCTTTTAAAACATCTTTATAATTAGAAGTAAACGTTTACAGCCTACGGTTGCGAAAATAAAAGTTGGATAAGGAGCTTCATTTTAACAACCATGTAATTTTGTAGATACCGTTTTTAATACACTTTCTTAAGTTTTACCTGCCAGCCTTGTTTCTTTTTCAACTGCATCATCTGTAAGTATATTAACTTACTCTAATCTTTCACTGATATTTAAAATATGAATACTTACTTGTTTTGATAATTTTGCATTAACTGCTCAGCCGCTTCTGGATTAGAAGATCTGAAGTTCTGGAAAGTTGACATAGATCTAATATATCCACAGGCATCTGCTGCGGTGCCAATATATTTTTGACTAATATTCCTGTGCCTATGAATAACATATTCATTAATTACATACACGTTACATCATACTTAATGTATTATACTTAAAATTGCGGAAGAAAACGCTTTAATTATTTAAAATATCGGTTTTACATAATACAGTCAAAAGTCGTTAATCCGGACTCGTGGGGACTTCGGCGATTCCGGATTATCGATTTTTCCGGATTATAGATCATCAGTTTAAATCTGGTAAGATGGCATGCAGAAATTATAAAATTAAAAAATATTAAAACCGTAATTTATGAAATAAAGAACAATTATGATCTAAAGGGTATCAAAATTTACAAAAAAAAAAAGTTTTAATATTTATTTGTTTACTTTATTAAACATTTCTTTCAATGTAAGTTGTTTTAATTGCTTCGTTTTTTATGTGATAATTACATTCTCTTTAATTCTTTAAACAGACATAATTTTCTTGTTCCTTTACAAAGTTCCGCTGTTCAAGTCCTATAATTGCTGTGTCGAGAATACCGACTAATTTGTCAATTGAAATTTTTTCTTTTCAATAACCCGTCTGTTACTTTCTTCTTCGCTATCGGAAGCGAATTATAATGACGAGGAATTTGATTTAAATCATATCAAAGATGGAGTACATAGAGATGAAATACTACATTTAATAAGGAATTATAAGCCAAATAAAATAGAAACATCTGCCCTGAAGATAAGGATAGTGCTGACAGATCAACTTCCAATTCATTGTGCACCGCGGCGTTAAAGATAAAACAAAGTTTTAGATAAACAACGTTAAAGTTTAGATAAACAAAGGATATGCCTTTATTCCATTTTTGTAGCAATTCCACTTTTTGTTTAATGAACTTCGAAACATACTTTCGCTTTGTACATCGTTTACATATTAATAATAATATCAGAAATTCTGTTTTGACATAATCGAAAGTTCAAAGCTTACTTTTATAAAATTACTCTAACAGTCTGCAAAAAATAATAAGCCGGATCCAATTCGAAGATTAAGGAACAACGCAATCTGCAACATTAACTGAAATAGATAATTAAATAATTTTAGCTTAGCTTATACAGTTCGTTATACATTAAACGCGCATTCGTAAACGTATTTTGTGCACGCGCACAAGTATATTCTCAGCCGTAAAGGCCTTACGCGCATGCGTCAACGCGACGCATGAGCAGAAAGTTTGAAGCTTTGAGGTCCGGATTATAGATCATTCCGGATTATGGGTGTCCGAATTAACGACTTTTGACTGTAGTTTCATTTCCTGTTATTAAAAAGGAAGAAATTAAATATATTACTGTAATTTATTTAAGGTTTCTATGGAGAAATAATGTTAGTTTGCGACATTTATGCTTCTAATTTTATAAAAGTTCATTTTATGTTAATTTTTATCCTATTATTCTTGACTCGACATGATACTTACTCAGATAAGAGGTTTATGCAAATTGAATGTAAAACGGCTTAGTTTAAGTACAGGATGTAATCTTAACCATCAGCCACTATACAGTAATACCCCCCAAATTACGCAATGGCTGGATTGAGAGCTTTACATACATACATATGGCCTTCGGTTAAATCGGATCAAGAGCTAAAAAAGCCTTTTTGGAAGAAAAATATTTAATAAAAATGTAATTTCAATGATTTAGAGACGGAATAATAAAAATATAATTTGTAATAGATCTGATTTTAATAATTGCCCGAAAGGATTTGCTAAAGTTTTTTACGCTCTCGATGAGCTCGCAGGCTACCAGTCTGTTGTTGCACTCACTCCTACTAACTCTCTTTCTTTCTGTCCTTTTGCAATTATTATTAAGCACCCTTTTCTTCGCACGTAAGCTATGTACAATACAACAACAGAAAAAACTTCAACAGAAAAAATTTTAAAAGCAGCATAGCAGCATGTGTTTAGAATTAGCGATGTGCTGTTGAGTGTTGGCATATGTTTTTAGCCCAGAATGGCTATTAATCTCGAAACGACAATCACTAAAAGCGTCCAATCACACAAAGTGTTGAAACACTTTTCAGATTGTTACCACCACATGTTATCGTCCTGTATTATATTATATTTAAAGAAATCAAGTAAGGAAGAATCTAGGGAATATATGTATGCATTACGAAAAAACAAACTGTACCTAGAATAATCAAATTTCGAATAGCATAGTCCTCCATCCGAACATGGGCACTTGGAAGCCCGAAGTTGGAATTTGTTTTATTGTCTATTTCATATTTTATGAACATTTAACCGAATGTTTGACTAAAAAACTCGACAATTTCAAAGCGAGCAGTAGTTAAACTGTACGAAATAAAATATTTTTATCGCTAGCGCGCGAGACTGTCTGTCGGAAATCCTAGTTATGTTATTACTAAATATATTTATTCCTAAGGGACGTACCCAACGGATCTCAAAACGTGTGTGCGTGTGTATAAAAACACCCTCTTAGGCTTTTGTAACCTTTTGGGGAAGGAAAAACGCGCCTTTAGACGTAATATAAAATCTGAAATCTTTCAGATTTTTTTGTCTCTTCTCAGTTTATCATACCAATGTTCAGTTTTCTAAGTAAGATAGCTTGTAGAGTCATTATGATTTTTTTGAAGCAAAAAATATGAAAAAGGAGCAATGCCTTTGCCAGGACTCAAGCCTGGACCTCTCGAATACGCGCCCAATGTGCTACCGTTACACCAAGAAGGCACGAAGAAAGGAGGGAGAAAATACCTCATATACTTCCCCTTTGGCGACTAGGAGTTAAGGCACCCGTTGGCCGAAACCTGGTAGTGAAGAATCATCATTCACCACCTTTTACTTCGGGCGCCAGAGACATTTGGCTTCTTTGAAGTAAAAGACATGAAAAATGAGCAGTGCCTTCGCCGGGACTCGAACCTGGACCTCTCAATTACGCGCCGAGCGTGCTACCATTGCACCACGAAGACATGCAGAAAGGAGCGAGAAAATACCTCATAAACTTGCAAAAAAATTGTTGTCTTTTTTATTATTAACATTTTGGATATTAATTTTATTTATTAAATATGACATTCTTCGCACTTACGCCACATAAAATTCAATTCCACAGCAAAATCACAAAATACTTAAAAACAGCATAGTTTTAGAATTTCCGGCATGCAGTCTCACGCGCTGCAGATAAAAATGTTTTACTCCATAGTGTTGTCAGCGCTCGTTTTCAGATAGTCGAATTTGTTAATCAGGAATTCATTAAAGTTTTACAAAATATGAAATATAAAATTCGAAATTCATAATTAGGATTCCAAGTGCCCATTTTCGGGTGGACGACTCCGTTATTCAGAATTAGATGGCCTCAGATATCGTCTTTTTCTCACAATGCGAGGAATATACATACATCCATGCAGAATATTTAAAATTTCTTTCAAAAAAATAATATAGGGCGATAATATTTGGTGGCAACAATTTGAAAAGCGATACAGACGCTTATGGTGAATGATGCAAAATCAAGTAACACCCTTTTGGGCTAATAAAAATGCTATATTAAAATGGAGCTATTTCGATGTTGATGGCTTCGACTCAGTGGCATTTTTTCAAAATGTAATATTTCTTAAGAGAAAGGTAATTTTCTTCCCTTGCGTTGTAGTTAGAAGGCATCCTTCATCTTCGTTTCCTGAAAGTTGCAATTCTTTCTCCACTGAACTGAGACGTTTCGTCAAATTTGCAGTTGTCCTGTGTTTTTCTGTCGGATAACGGTCTGATGAAGAATGTCTTTCAGCCTTGAATTTTCCCCTTTTGTCAAAAAATATATATGAATATACTCATCTAGGAATGCGTCATAGTGAAACATTTTAAATATGGCAAAGATACGAGGGCTATCTGCTTAAAAAGACCCTTCGTGGAAGACTTTGGGAGAAACTTGCTGGTATTCAGTTAACTCATAGGGAAAATCACAAAATCTGATCATGAAGCGAGCCAGTTATCCTCGGATCGATCCCAAACCAGGTCAAACTGCCAGTATGCAGTGGTCTTAACCATTCGGCCACTGGTGGCGCTGTATAATAATAAAAGAATTAGCCGCTAATATCCTGTAGGTAAATAAATTAATAATTATAAAATAATAAAGAGATTAGGCGCTATTTGATAGCTTTCAGAATTTTCAAAAATTTTAAAAAGTATTTAAGCTGATCAATTCATGCAACGAAACAAACAAAATATAGTGTTATGAATTTTGTATATATGTCAATAGTTTTAGTGAAATTATACGTGAAATTGTAGCATTTTTTGTATAATGTAACATGAAAGACTTAAAAGAGACGAAGCTCTGCCAGAAAAATAAGATTACAGGAGGCAGTTTGTATAACTTTAAAGTAAATGGCTATCTCGCTAAATTAGCGAAATATCGCCAAACTGGCGACAGTTTTGGCGACTAATTTTAGTCTCCAAATTTGGAGAGAAGTTCGATCGTATTCGATTCGGAAGAAATTTCGATCGTATCCCTGTATATCTAATTGATACTGAGATTGAATAACTGTAATTGATCCTTATGTGTAACTAACCATATCCAGGCCTCATATGCCTTCTAGTAATTTCAAGAAAAGGAAAGGTACTAGAGATTTCTCGGCTGCTGCAGAAAAACTTTAGAAGACCGGAGAGAACATCGGTTTCGCAGCTGTTAGCTCAGAGCTGAAAATGTATTGAGATATGCGTAAGAATTTCGCCATTTCGATGCGCTTTTCATTGGTTGTGCTTAACGTTCTTAATAATTTGAAGTGCAACTACTGATTGTGCTCTGTAGTAGTGAGAAGAGCTATATCATTATTTTTGTGGGATATTCTACAATTATAAAATGTTTCCTTCCGTAAAATAAATTTTATCAAGCTGTCATTGGTTCTATGTCTATTCAATCTATTGTAAACCCAAACGCACGCGACAATATATTTTGACTTTCAAGACACATTAAGTTAAAATGAAAAGTTAAATAGAACTGATGGAAATTTCAGCTTATTAGATGAAAAATATTGAGCACTTTTATTAGTGATTTATTCGGAATACAAGATATTCTAGAAACTATTTTAATGTGGAAAGAGGTTTGATGTTAAGGTTATTTTTACACTTTATAAACAGTAAATATTTTACTTGATAATTAAATACGAGGGCGGAAAGTTGGATACATCGACAAGATGCAATAAAAAACGATCAAAGCAGTAATATATTTTGTACCAGAAACAGTTAGAGAAATAAATATGTTTCAGAAATGGAAGACCGCTGATGGTTGAGCACTAAAATCGCTGACTACAGGTCCTTTGAAGTAGGTTCAGATCAAGACTAACGGTTTGGTTGCAGGGCAGTTTCAGTCATTTTTCTCACGAAAAATGTAAATATGAGCAATTTATCTTAAAAAGTTGTTGTTTCAAATCGCCGGATATTTGCAATTTAATACAGTTGATGAGAAAATTCCTCGGCCATTTAGTCAGCACATCACCAAGAACGTTGCTTAAGGTGCACCGTAAAGGGTGACAAATCTTACATCCAAAAAAGTGAAGCTGGGTCTGGGTCTAAATTTTAATGGAGAGAAGGGAGGTGGATTTGTCAGGCATTAATTCCTGAAGAAAAGGTTGCTGGTAAGATTATTTGAATACAGCAAAGCCCCGAAATCTATCTGCCAAGAGGAGGAATGCTTTCGTGGCGGGCATTCTGAGAGAAACTAGCTTGTACTAACGTTACACTTGAGAAAAGCACGAAAATCAACATGTAGCCAGTCCATTCGCCTAGATACGGCGTAAGAAGGTGTTTTAAAAAACTTGCAGTTTATTGAGGTCTGATTTAGAGGCAACACTCTAAGCAGGCGAGGCATGTAAAAGAATGGGTTGCAAGATAAAATGTACAGATTCTCTTTTTCCGCTCAAGGTCCACAGACGAGAACGGCTCAATATGGCAGCCGAAATGTGCGCGCTGCAAGTGACAATGGTATTGAAACTACTAAGAGAGTGAGACCACGGATCATCATTTTGCTACTAGTTTCAACTACTGCGAGTTTTTACTAGTCGATTTATTTTATTAGCCTAAGTCTAACCAGGGTAATTTTTTGAAATATGGTGCAATCGCACTTCACACCGAGAGGTGGCGCTGTTATTTTGCAAAGTCAAGAATTCAAAGCTAAGTTCGTAAATTTGTGGATTTGATGAATAAGCGAAATCGAAACTGGTCAGCCAGAGCATTTCATAAATGGAATAAATGCTTATTTTGGTTTTAAAAGATACAGTATATTTATTTTTACAATTCCCAGTCTTGTTTGCAACATGTTACTTATTTTTTACGTAAAAATATAACAAACTTTTAAGAAATAAAGCTTACGCAACGCTTATCAAGGAACACTAAAAGTAACGACGTTTTTAGCTCGACCGTTGTTGCCACACGGCGAATCTTAATAACTATTCAAAACATTACATTATGTTGCCACTTAGGAAACGTTAATAATTATATAGAAACATTAAATTATGTTCCACTAAAAATTCACAAAGTTGTTATCAGCGAGTGAATTTGAGCATTGCGGTTTTTTACAGTGTTGAAATTCAGCCTCTAATTCATATATACACTATTTACAGTCTTTTAGAAATGCAGAATATTGAAACTTACGATGTCTTGGTCACGTGACGTGAACCAGCTAGTAGGAAAGTATCTTTCAGAAATAGAGAGTGAATTAATGTTCAAGGCAAAATTTTGTACAAATTTAACTGCAGATACTTGAGTTATTTAAATAAATTCATTTAATGTTGAAATTTCGCTTTCATAATTTACGTAAATTGAAAAATAACCTTGAAAACTCATTTTTAAAATTAAAGTCACATGCTGCGGGCCGAAACAGAGTGAAATCAGAGATCATGACTTTGCTACTAGCTTCAACTACTATGAGGTTTTACTAGTTGATTTAGTTTATTACCCTAAGGCCAATCACAGTAATTTTTTGAATTATGGTGCAATCGCACCTTACGATCGGAGGCGGGGCAGTTATTTTGGCAAAGTCGGGAGTTCCTAGCTAAATTCGTAAATTCACAAAGTTCTTATCAGCGAATGAATTGAGCACTGCGGTCTTTAAATCTTGAAATTCAGTTTCTAATACATTCTGCATATCTAAAAGTCTGTGTAAATTTAGATATGCAGAATGTTGAAATTTGCAAGACAGTGAGAGATTGTATATCGTAATAAACATTACTTCTGTCGTGCTACTACTGGGAGTATTGCTGAGATTAGTAACCAGTACGTTAAGAGTTGAAATGCCATAAGCCAATAACTTGTTTTTTGTGGCCATATAGATACATTTTGATGTATCAGATCCAAGGGCAAAAGATAAGTAATGTTGAAGAAACCGTTAGCCGTAGAAAACTGACTGAATGTGGCGTCATCAAACAAGGCGAGACAGTGAGATTGGTATGAATTGGTATGAATTGAGGTATCAATGAGTATATAGTCCTGAGGACTTTTACTCAGAAGTTATTTACCCTGCGGGGTACGTCTTAGTGAGAAATAAATCCACTTTATTTAAAGTTTCTGTTGAAAACATCGTCGCATGGGTGGAGACAGTGAGATTGAGCAGCAAAGACTTTTATAGCAAGAACTGATTACATTTCGGATCACATCACAAGAATGTTTAATTAAATTTCAGATACATAACGGATTAACAATCGGATGCTGGGTTAAGATTTGAACGCATTTCCAGGAGTAACTGGGCAATAGAGATCAGATGACGGATCGCTTCTGAGAATACAAGAAGTAAAGATTATTATATTAGAAAATTTATCGCTTTGCTATTTTTAGAACGAAGACGGGCAGAGTCGTAGCTAGGGTTTTCAGCGCCCAGGGACAACTGAAGATTTCGCGCCCCCTACTGCTTTCCAAGAATGGAAAACATTTAATTCTAAAATGTCGTAACATCAGTTTGGCGCCCCTTGGATTCTGCGCCCGGAGACAGATGCCCCCCTTGCCCCCCTCTAGCTACGCCCCTGACAGACGGGAGTTAAAGGGCTATTGTTAATTTATTGTTAGAACGGTAGATATATTATATTTTACATATATATATATATATATACATATCCACCCGCCTTTACCGGTCTTAAAATCTCTTAAAAGTTTCCCCCTTAAAAGTCTTAATTTCTTTACATCCACGATCATTGGTTGTAGTCATATACTTACAAAAGTGTCTTAATTGACGAAAATATTTATGTTTTGACAATGTCAAATTTTAGAAAAAGTCATTTTAAACAAATAACGAAATTTAATTTTGGATGCGGTATCCCAGTTCCCATACTAATATCTGGGAAAGTTTTATACTCCTTATGAACAATTTCAAAATTTAACTAATTTCAAAATTGCTTTGGATGTCATTTTCAACCTGTATGGAGATATCCATTAACCTCTAAGATAGCTAAGTTAGAATAATTCAAGGAAATAAATTGAAAGATGTGCATAAAAAAAATGTGTGTAACTTAACAGGCTGTAGAAAGAAGTCATGGTGTCCACATCAAATATTTTTAGATTTTATTTAATAGAAATAAAAATATTTTATGTGTTAAAGTGTTTCTATGTTGAAAGTGTATTCTGTATTGAAATAAAATACGATAAACGTAAATATAATAAAATTCTTTCCTTTGCATCGCACTAGCAACACTACGGGAAGGAATAAACGGTCAAGTATCTGGATTTTTTTAATATTCGTAACAGCCGTGTTTCTAGTTATGTAATCTGGATGTTTAAATTTCCATTCCACTTGGATATTTAAATTTCCATAGATTTTCAAAAAATCTAAAAAGCGTCAAGGCTAAGACTGAGATTATCTACAGTAGTTAAATATGAAACGATAAAGGGTAAATCTGGAAGTTTTCAGGTTGCTGTGGTAACAGCAATTCATTTCCTGCAAAATAACAATTTCAGTTAAACGTTAAAACCGATTTTAAAGTGGCATCTTAATTAACGAAAGATACGAGTATTACGAACAAAGGAGTTATCTGTTTTCATGATTGCGATGCCTAAAGAAGCAAAATTGCTGTGCGTAAACATTACAAAAATTAGTTAAAAACGTAATGTTATGGCAAGCCACAAATGAAAAATGCAATATTTCTAACCTTTTTTCAAGAAACTCTAAATGGTTTCATTTACTTAGGTTATTAAAAAAGGCTTTAATTCCTTTTATCAAACAGCATGATCAACACAAGGGCATTTTATTTTGACTAGAACTGGATAGCAATAATTATGCGAGGTATACTGTCCACTATTTGGAAAACTAGGGCATTGATTTTATGCCTAAGCTGGATAGAGTCCCTAACATTCCCTCATTGTATAGAAATTGAAATTTTGAAACTAGTAGGCCAGAAACGAATTTCTGCAGCAATTTTAATAAACATGTCGAAGAATTCATTTGACGATATTATTATCTAGATTTTAGTTTGATATGAAATGCAGTAATCACTTTAAAAGTTTTGAAATTTGTTTCATTGTTATCCGAGATGTTAATTTACATTTTTGTACAGAAGTTTAAAACTGTCTAAGGAATTTATAATGTTTATTGAAAAATAAGTGACTTAAGTTGACTGCGTTTTCAAAAGTTAATTATATAGAAAAGAACAAATAATAAGAAATATACACTGAATTAAATGGTTTCAATAAATTTACCTCGTAACTTCTTCGAAAGGAAAATCAATATTTCTGTATTCATCGAAGAGTTGCTGCACCTTTTCCGAGCGATAGTTTTTCAAATCCACATAGAGAAACTGTAAAAGAATTCAATGTAGAAATGAGAATAGATATTGAAAATAGATCCTATGAAACACCTAACTGTTGATTGAAAATGTTGCAGGGTCAGATACAACACTAACAAATTCTTTCGTATCTATTTATTTGTCTATATCTGTTAAATTATATCTGTTAATTATATTATTATTATATAAATATGTTAAATTATATGACAACAACTACATATTGACTTATAATAATGAATGTAAAAATTATTTTTACTGAAATCTCATCAGTGGCAGAACTAATTGATAGTTATTAATTCGTTCTGGGTTGGATTTCCAGCAGATGACACAGAAAGTCCTCCGTGAAGGTATTTCTCCTTTTAGGCAGACAGCCATCATTTTTTTTCCGATATTCAAACAGCTTACTTTCGTATAGTGTCTTACTTTATCTCGTCTAGTCTCTAGAATATAACTACATGTCGCAGCGACTCCTCCCTCATTTGACATAATGACGTGTGCCACCTTTCAACGAATTATAAGTCATCATACCTTCCGCAGAAATCATTACGAAGAACATGGTTACGAAGAAAGCCAAAAGGAAAAAGAAATGGGGGTGAAGTGTATATTCTAAAATCTAAAGTAACAGACTATAGGAAATGGGTTCATTCTATAAGGTTTTCCCTAGGCCTGGAACTGGTTCTGAAAATAACTTATCGTTTAGTTATCACATATCAAAGTTTTCACATAGTTTATTTAGTTATCACATATCCATTTAGTTTCTTCTTCCGTAAAATGAAACTTAAAGAGATTTCGTTTTCATTGATTATTACGAGCTAGTACCACTGACAACGTAATATGCAGTTTTTTTTTTTTTTTTTTTTTTTTCTCGTACCAGCAAGTTATCTTGCGTATCGTGTAGCCTGAGGGTCACGCAAGTTGAAAAAAATGTCCTTTTTCATGGATCTTCCGTTGACAATGCTGACAATGAGCACAGTGACTATGCAAAAGGGGAGATTTCGATGAGATAACAGCGTGTTTGTTCCTCAAAATAAAACAAGTTCTTGAAATCAAGCACGGAACTCAAACAAAGCACTTTTCTGATTCAGAGAAGACGATGAGCTCAGCTAAGCAAAACAAAGGATTCCGCGGTCTTTCTTTTACACAATGTTTTTCTTTTCCTCAACGAGTTATTGTAAAAGTGGTAATATTGTTAATGTTTTTTTTTTGGGGGGGGGGATAATCAATCAAGGCAAAGCATTTAATGGCCAACTGCCTTCTTTCTAAATTTCTAAGACAAACTGGCTCGTTGTTTACTCAGTTCATGACAAAACCAAGAAAACGCTCATGCAGTTAGCCTTCTTGCTGGAATTTGAATCCAAATCAAACTATTAGTGCTCGACGATCTGGTCCACTCGACAGCCAAGTATTTTTAAAACAGGCAAGGAAAGATGGATATTGCAGTGCAGACATTATTCAGACTTCAATGTATACTGCGGGAAAAAAAAAAAAAAAAAAAAAAAAGACAGTTGTATATATCCCGTTCTACTGAGCCGATTGACGAAATTCAACATGCGTTTTTCATGTCTCGAAAGCGCGATTTAAAATATGTTTTATATTTATATACAGCATTGCTCTAATATAGGTATTTTGACACAAAATAGGACTTTTTCTGAAATTGCATACCAATTTTTTTCCATATTTCGAGTCTACGACTCAAATTACGCCAAACTACCAAGTTTTGTAAAAATCGCACTAGCAGGTTTTAAAAAATAGCTCTCAAAATTTTAGCACCTTAATGTTAATTAAGTTTGGTATATATTTATTAATCTTTCTTTTTATACTAAACTTATTTGATTCTTCTTTCACAGTTCATTCCAACTAAAATTCACCCATTTTTTATGATTTATTTTTAAAATTTGCATTTTTAACAATTTTTATAAATTTTTCGAAATCATTTTTGAATTATAATCTATAAATTTTTAAAGCAGACGTATTTCTAAGCATACCTGCAAAAAATTACAGTTTTTTTATTAAAGTTTTCCGAAAATACACGTGAATTAATATATTGGGGCGTTTTGAAATTTGGGATATTTGTTGAAAGCGATTAAACGTCAAATGTAGTTTAGACACTTTGCTAAAAGTGACTTTTTTCCCGCTCATGCACAATGTAAAAAGGTAGGAACGAGGTGCCTTTTTTTTCCGCTCCGGCATAATGGAAGGGAACGGAAATTTGGTTGCCACATATTAAGAAGTTCGCCAAGTCAATTATTCTTGGCAAAAACTGAAAAAAATTGTCCCAAGAAAAATTTTTGAATTTATCCGTAAATTTCGCACCAAATTTTACAAAATTTAATATCTAGGCATAATTTGAGTCGTAGAATCGAAGTATGTAAAAAAATTGTATGTTTTTTTTTTTAAAAAAGTCCGATTTTGTGTCAAAATACTTATGTTAGAATAGTTGAATGTTAGAATATAAATCTAATGTATATCCTAAGTCGCGCTTTCGAGACATGAAGAATGCAATTTGAATTTCGTCAGTCGACCCAGTAGAACGGGAGATATCGAACTGTTAGCTTAGCTTGCTTTCTTTAAAAAATATTCTTCACTTATGCTAATAAATCTTTATTCTCGCATTACTTAAATATCACTGAGACGGTACAAAGAAAATACAAATTACTGTGCGCACTTAAAAAAAAACATTACCGTTCAAATCGGCTTCCATCAAAATACACTCTCGTTGCCACTCGGGCAAAATATATTTAAAATAAAATTAATGCGTTGCGTTTATAGAACTGACCCCCCTTTTTTTTGCAGTATACATAATCATTTTTCTGTAAAAAATTAAACACATTTCGAAAAACAGTTTAATTCTAATAATTAATTAATATTCTTTTTACACGATGTCTTTTTTTGTATTATTCAATAAAAAATAGCGTTATCACTTTCCTTTTAAACGCAGTTTAGTTTTAATGATTAATACGTTCTTTTGATAAGATATACTAAGCATTGCAAATTTGATGCAAAAAATCCCCCTTAAGTTATAAGTCTCTTATAAAGACCTTGATTGTTAAAATTCGATTGGATTATAAATAATATTACAGTCAAAGTCACAAATTTATCTTTTGTTGTTTAGGTTTGTATCGTGCATTGTTATATTTTTCAAATGTTTAAATAATGCTAAACGAAACATATGCATATTATATAAGATTTTACCCAAATTTGTTATGAAATCATGACACAACTTCTCAAAATAAGTGTGCGAAAAACTTTTTATAATTTTTCTCGAAACGATAATTTTGCAGATTCATGATTGATCCCGTCGTGTCGGCGAAATATAAGCTTTAATTTTAAAATGTGCAATAACATTTACATAGTTTGAAGCTACATGTATTACTTCCTCGCATTTGTTAGATTTTATCTTTAAAATTAGCGTATAAGTTGAACAGTTGATGGGTTAATTTGATTACATAAATTCTGCTACATGCAACCCATTATGGCACCAAACTGTGAGTAATTCTTTTTTTTTTTTTTTTTTTTTTTCATCTAATAGAATATGCGAAGATGATCAAGAAATCCATATATTTATCATTTTCAAGATGCAACGCGAAAAGCTGCAGGAAGAGCAAAAGTATTCGTGTCAGAAAAAAAATTTATGATTCCCGGTTACCATTTCTAAAAACATTGCATTTTATTTACATTTGAGTAGGAAAATTCTCATCCATTAAATTTTTAATATCCATTAAATATTAAAAATGTACTCAAAAAATTGCTGACTAGAATAGTTGTTGCTCACTTGTCTGACCTATAGACGCAAAATTACTGCTTACTGTTTAATTAAAAACAGATGAAGCTGGCTCTTTTCCATTACAGAATAACAAGCGCCGAATAATTTTCTGTGGAAGGACATGTGCTAACTTATTTCTTCAACCGAAAAAATTCACTTACGTAATCAACTTATTAGATCATTTAGAAAAAAAAATACTGTTATAAGAGATAAGACAAACCATTTAATTAATATAACTGCGGGACCGATAAGCAGCAATACTGGCGCATATATCTTTTCGTAGAAAATGCTTTGGCAGGTGTTATTCTGCAACCAAAAAGATCCTATCTTGTTTTATTTTAGTTAACTTTCCAGTAAAATAAAAACAATGTGCTTTAAACACAACTTTTGTCTAAGATCTTATTTCTTACCTTGTCGGTTATCTGACGTAAGAAATCATCTTTTTCTTGGTGTCCGGTAACGGGGTATATGACCCAACTTGAGTAAATAGCCAGTACGCCTCCTGGTAATAGAACCCTCTTTGCTTCTTCGAAAAACGATTCCGAATGCAGCCAATGGAAGCATGTGCCAGCAGTCAGCAATTGAACTGATAAGTCTTTCACTGGCAAGTCTTCTCCTCTAGACAATCTGTGAACGTTTGTTATTGTACCGTTAGTAATAATTAATGTTCACTGGACAAAAGAAAGAGATCTGAACAATAATGAAACGGCGTATCTCAGAAGTCTGCGATGAAATTGGCACATGTAAACTGCACGTAGTCTTAATTCTATCTTTTCAAGCACCCAATCTAGTTTTAAAACGAATTTATTTGAAAATCAAAGCAAAATAATTTGATTTTAAGAATTCTAACATCTCATTGGCAAAATTCAAACTACATCAAAACAAAACAGAAAGAATGTTCTATTTCACATTGTTATCACTCATAGTTTTCTAAAATCAATGCACGTTTTGCTACTTTTTCCGTTGACATTCAGAAAAAAAAAAGTCTAAAATTTAGCTAGTTTTTTATATTTACCATCCTGTAAATTAACAGGAAAAGACATATGGTTTCCATCTTCAATTCGCTTGTTCTTAAGGAGATTGTTATTATAATCAAGATTTTATTACATTTCGTTATAAGAATTCTTACATTAGTTTATAATTCATCCTTAAAAATGTATCGTTTATGCAACAGCTAGCCTTTTTAGTATGGTAACTGTTTGCAAATTTAACAAAAGTCCGTATTTTGTCTTTGGGAGATTTTTAGATTACTTAGATTACTGCAAACTATTCTAAGGCTATCTATAATAAGGGGTGAGATTTTTTCTTTGTGGACCTTTTATGGAAACTGCCTTGTATTCGCTTTACACGTGGAGAAATAACGAAAACCTCCATGCAACCAAGCGTTAGCCAGGATTTGAAGCTGGGTTGAGCTCAGGAGTCTTAACACTCGGTCGTTGGAGGGATTAATTTTTTTAACTGAAAAATAAAATAATTCATAAAAATATTTTAGAACCTGTTATATTTTTCATAGTGAGATTTTTTTTCCTTAGAGTTGAAAGAATATAAATAAAAATATTACTGTCTTATTTTTACAGATTATTAACCAATGCCAGAAAATGAATATCAAGATATAAGGAACAATATCTGAAACAGAGCTTTCATTCATCTTATTTAAATTCCTTGAAAATTGAAATTCGCATGATATTTGAAAATCTGTATATCCCTTTCTTATGTGCTGCGAATCAGTGACGGAAAAATAATGAATGGGCAAAGATATGATCAAATGGGCAATTTCTGAAAAACCAGTTTCTCCTATTATTGTTTTTTTGGATTTATTGTGCTACCAAAAAGCATACAAAATAGTGAGTTCAAAAATATATCCTTTGCAACAATGGATGCTATCCATATTTTCTCAGAAACCAGATATATTTAATAATTGGCTTTAAAATTTGTTAATTTTCTTTTGAAGATACGATAAGATTTCTTTAGATTTATACGTATGGCAACTGTGATTCAGAGCAAATTCCGGAGGTGTATATGTAGATATCATAAATACAAAAGTAAGTTATTACTATAGTAGTTGGTAGTTTGAATATGGCAAAGTACTCATGGACTACCTGCTTAAAAGGACGATGCTTTCGTGGAGGGCTTCAGGCGCCCATCAGCGGCCGACAAATATACACCCAACAAACATCCAAACCTTCTCCGGGATATGGATATGACACCGTACTTAACGATATGACAAACAGCAGCTTTAACCACTACACCGACCGAGACGCCATATTCTAAAATGTCTTCGTTGCAAGTCGGATCAAATGTGATAATTTTTAATATACTAGCTGCTTATGCGACTAGAAGCCTAAAATATTTATCATATACAGTTAGTCACAAAAGTCTGCGTACAGACTAAATTTGAAATTAAAAAAACACTTAAAGCATAGAAAAATGTATTTTAATCATTGCATTTTTTTCTTCTATTAGCTAAAATTGTAAGCTTAATAAAAAGTAAATAATATCAGTGTAATACTTTTTACTTTTTTTCAAAAATATATTTTGTCAAAAGAAACTCACAAATTCCCGCCAATAAATCTGCGTACACTTTTTACAAAAAGCAAAAAAAAAAAAATAAAAAAAATATAATAAGTTTTTTACATTACTTCAATACATTATGGTAGGATATCTTTTATTCTTCAAATAAACAGCTTGCAGACGTCTGGGCATTGACGGAACTAGTTTTTCAGTGTCATGCGACGTAAATTTCGCCCATTCTTCCTGCAATTGACTAATTAGCTCATTTCACGACGTAATATTGTATTTTCGAATTCGTTTCTCCAATTTTGCCCACAAATGTTCGATTGGATTGAGGTCTGGTGACTGTGGAGGAGTACGCAACTGTATATCTTTTCTTTCTATTTGTCTCGGAAATGTATGGCTTAGACCTAGGTTTGCGTTCATGATATTCGGCCTTTCGCAGCACTTTTCGTACAGTTTCAGGAGAAATTTCCTTGTTGTTAGTTAAAAAAATGTCTTTTGCAATGCTTGCAGCAGAAAATTTAGGATTTTCGTAAAAGATTTAATTCGTAAAAGAGTTTTTCTTTCTTCTCTCTGCCTTAGCTTCTTCGGTTTCCCACATCTTGGTTTTACAACAAGACTACCAATGTCAAGATAGTTTTGAATAACCCTTTGCAAACTAGAAAATGGTTTTCCAATGGTTTTACCAATATAACGAAGAGTTTTACCTTCATCTCCCAATTTGATAATTAGTTGTCTCGTAACTAAAGGAATTTCTTTATTGGTTGTCATTTTCGTCAAAGAAAATAGAAATAACAACTTCCAATCAACGTGAAATTCGCTTCGGAAGTCAATGACCTTGAAAGTGTAACCTTCTTTGCATTCTCAAGTTTGAAGTTTAAAAGTTAGATAAAAAATCCCCCGCCTCCTTCGCGTCGTACACAAACTTTATTGGCTTTGATTTCTGGCCACTTATCTTTTAAAAATTAGTGTACATAAATTATTAGATATGAAAATATTACAGTTAAATAATTTCAAAGTTCCTTATTGAAACTAAATATTTAAAAAATAAAACTTTAAGAAACTACCCTTTTCGCACCTTAAAATTTAGATTTGATGTTACTTTTTTTGATGTACGCAGACTTTATTGACTAACATATGAAGTTTAAACTACAGTTGTTATATACATAATGATTTTAATGAGATCAGCTAGTATCCTTTCATTAAGATATTTAATATTTATAATTAGACATCTCATGATTTAAATGCATTTTTATTTAAAACGATCAAATTGAAAAATAAAATATTAAGAACTGCGTTTATTACTTTCAAATCTCTTAGTTTATAATCAGTAACAGATAGATTGAATGTGAAAGTAAAATATCTCACTCTTTGCCTAAAGACAACACGTCACTAAAGACAAATATTTTATTTCAGGCAGCGGCAACGCATTACTTTTAAACTGCCGAGTTTGTTGATTAAATTATATTTTGTTGTATTATACTTCACAAAATGGCAATACACATACGCGAACTCGTTGCTTTAAATCATTCATTGGTTGATCTTTACATTATGGTAACTTGGCGATTTTTTGGCGAAAATTTGGCGACTAACTCTCCTACAGCAACCCTCTATTTTTTTTTCCCCGCCGCCATTTTGTCTTCACGAAGTAAAGACATGTTTCTTTTCTTTTTATCTCCTGAACACTTCTTCCAACATCTACTAGCCGAATTAACATTATGCTAGAAATTTTATCTAACAAAACTACTTAATCATACAATATTCACTGCAAAATTAGGAAAAACTGCACAATACCATCCTCCTTACGCATTTTTCAATAACACATACACATAAACCATGTACACGCCGACTTATTTTTACTTTAAAAACATCCCAGAATTGCACAAAAATGGCATTGCGCACACTCTTCACTATATCCATGTACACTGCTTTTTTTCTCATAAATTAAAAAAATTTCACGAAAATACATGACAATTTTCTCAATCTTTAAAACCGGTAAAAAGAACATATATGAAATTACTGATCGCGAAAAGTATTTACCCTTTACAAATATCAACATTTCCACATATAAAATAAATAGAATATCCAAAAACTTTTACCTCTAATCATCTATTACATTATACACGTCACCAACGAATTCATACCGCAAGCATTCAAATACTTAATATCAAATATTTAAATTATTTCCATGACGTTTATTTCAACTTAAACGTATACAAATTCCTACAAACTAAAATTCACAAAATAACTATCATTCATTAAAATATAATTAAATTCAAAAACACTACTTAAATATAAATGAGCACATACATTAAATTAATAAAAATTACCTTACAATCCTAATTACTTTAAACTAAATCATTGCTAATAACAATTTTTCCCAATAATACCAAATTCCTTCCACCTTACATTTAACCACATGCATAAAAATAATATCCTCAAATAATAAAAATACTAACTTACCTAATCTTTTCTTCAGAATCTTGATTACGTGGCGGATACAGTTTTTCTTCCTTCTGTTTCAGAATCTTTAAAATCATACTATCTTTCAAAGCAGATACCAGTAATAAATAACATAATAAAACATCTTATTTTCGCTCTCGCACACCTTAATAAAAAACATTTATTACTATCCTTTTTCAATACCACTAAATACCCATTTCGAATTCACTTTAGTTATGGCCATGGGATCCAAAAATTCACAAACCTTATTTCACACAACACAGAATAAAGCCAAATACAAAATTGCCAGATTATTTCCCGATTAAAGAACAGTAATTCGTCCATTAATATCACATGACATATCCCATGATCTCTCATTTCCCTCACACAAAATAATGCGTAATCAGAACTGAATACTACTCACATTCTTAACAAAGTCTAACTAACCTAATCTTCTTCCGAATCTTCCTTACATGGTGGATACACTTTTTTATTGGATTCAATAAAAATTACTGAACGATTTTTTTTTCCGAATTTGATAAAAGAAAAATTCTCTTTATCACATCTACAATTCACTTTAGACAGCGCCATACAATCCCAAAATTATTCAACCCTACTTCACACAACACACAATGAAGCTTAATACAAATAATATACATCCACAGATACTTGTCCAAATTCCCCCCCCCTTTTCCGATTAAAGAAACGTTAATTCGTCCATTAATATCACATGACATATCCCATGATCTCTCATTTCCCCCACAAAATAATGCGTAATCGGAACTGAGTACTGCTCACATTATTACCAAAGTCCCAGGTAGTAACCTTTATCGCCTCCAAAATGTCGCCAAACTACCAGTTACCATATTGTAAAGATCAACCCATTCATTTTTTAAATAACAAAATTATTAAATTCTCACAAAATATGAAAGCTGCACATGTTCGGAAGAAGAACTATATGTGCTCAAAATTCAGTGGCTTTATGTGCCATGATTTTTTTACAATGCGGGGTAATGCATATATACCATACATACACATTCTTCATTATCATATAAATAATATCGATTATTATCAACTTCCAGTTTTATCTTTTCACAAAATTTTTATTAAAATGAAAAAAAAAAAAAAAAAAAAATAGCATCATTCTCAGTTAATAACAAATTAAAAGCAGTCTCAGAAACATCCTCCTACTGAAGGAATCCTAAACGGCGAAGTTTATGAAATAATACCATTCGAATTACTGTTAATCACTATTACTATAACAACTGCAAAGCATTCTACTAACTGCTATTTAAACACGTCCTTGGAATGAATAAAATACAACACCAAGTATATAATAACGCATTTGCTCAAAAGTTATTATTTCGGTAACGTTTTAGATGAATATTTCACGAAATTTTTTTGCAAAAATATAGAAGATAAATTCCCATTTTAAATGTATGTTTCCTCACCCGTATTCCACATTATCTGCTCTTCGCTCAGTCATGGCTTCGTGGATTTGAGCTTTGCTAACATCAAATCCTCGAACTCGACGGAAGGGCGGTGCCAACAACAATGTGCTTTGTCCAGTGCCACAACCGACATCAACTGCCAGTTCGAAAGGAGGGTTAAACTGTAAAATAAGACCAATAAGGAAATCATTAAACTCGAAATTGACTCACTCCTTTTCGGTACTTTTCCATTTCGCCGGCGCAAATCTCGCGAAGCAGACTTTATTGGCGACAACACACAGTATACAAAAAAAAAAAAAAAAAAAAAAAAAAAAAAAAAAAAAATTAACAAATGCTAGTTCTAAGAATTTTTTATTTTGGAGGCATAAACATTTTAATATCTTTTAAAATTTTGTAAAAAGACATTAGTATAAGAATTTACTATGCTTCCAAGGTACAACTTGATTCGCCGGTTTATATCACGTGACCCCAAGTAATTTGATCTCGCATAAACTACGCTACAAAAATCTAATTCTCTCAGTAATTATGTACATTCATTTCAAGTTAAATCTTAATATGGAATACAAGTTTAAATGCAAGCATTATTTCAATTCGTACGAATAGCTTACTCAGAAATTATGTAAAACTGCAGTACTTTACTTCACTAGGCCATTCTCATTATAATTTATGAATTTAACCCTTAATTTTGCTTTTTCTATATTTTCACCTTCGGGTGAGCGGTGTGATTGCATCCTAATTGACGTAATTACCGCGAATGGCATTGGGGCATAAAATTGAACTATCTGGTAAAAATTCTATGTAATTGTATGCCAGTATTGGAAGAAACAATCAATCTGATCAGGAAATGGCTGCGACTTGTTTTTAAAATGAGGTGTGGTAAAATCCTAGTATACGGGTGCAGCCTCGGCGCGATTTTGAAAATTATCGCCAACACCAAAAATGATCCAAAGAACGTCTATATATATATATACTATATACTATCTACTATGTGTGTATATACATAGTATATACACTATATATATAATTACCATATAATTACCATAATATACCATATATATTCTTTGAATGACCTGTTTACTACTCATCGTATATGTCGCGTTTTTACTGCTCATCATAAAGTCGCCAAAAGTAGCCAAATCCCGTGTGCACCTGGATAGGATTAAACCTGAGATGTAAAAGGTTACCAGCGAGGATATTCCGTTTGGCATTGGTTGTACAATTTTTAGCGAGTTTATCGCCTGCGCCGGCAAAATGGAAAAGTACCCTTTTTTCACGTGAATTCCAACAGAATTAGGTTGACTCAGTTTTTTCATAATATAACACTTATTTGAAATACTTATTCACCCCTAACGAAAATTTATAGAATTCTATAACAAAAAAAAAAAAAAAAAAAAAAAAAAAAACATATTAAACTTCTTTAGAATTATGGCTCAGTTTTCTACAAACTAGGTCACAGATCTACAGAAATCTATAAATTTATATATATAACTTCTATTGAGTTATGTATATAGATTCTATTAATATATATGACGATATTCTGTAGAGATTTATGCGTATCTTCTATCATAAATATAGTTCATGAAGATCCTACATATAGAATATTATAGATTTTGTATAAAATCAACTAATAAAGTTAACAAGCTAAATTTTTGGGCTAATCTTTGGAATATGGTAACAGGTAGTTTGGCGACATTTTGGCAACCAACCCTGCTACAGCAACCTTCTACTTTTTTTTTTCCGCCGCCATTTTGCCTTCACGAAGTAAAGACAGCTTTCTTTCTTTCTTTTTTTTTTTTTTTTATTTAATCAACATTTTTTCCAACAATCTGCTAGCCGAATTACGCTTATGCTAGAAATTTTATGGCACAAAAGGGCTTAATCATGACGAATATTAATTGCAAAATTGGGAGAAAGTGCAGAATCGCAAACTCCTTGCCGCGTTTTTCAGAATGGCACATACGCAGTACCCCTGTACACGTAGACCTATTTTTACTTAAAAAAAATACCAGAATTGCACAAAAATGGCATTGCGCACACTCTTGACTTTATTCATGTACACTGCTTTTTTCTCTTAAATTAGAAAAACTTGCACGAAAATGCAGGAAAATTTTGTGAATCTTTAAAGTCGGTAAAAAGGACATATATGAAATTACCTGATCGCGAAAAAGTATACACCCTTTCCAAGGATGATCATTTGCACGTATAAAATAAATAAAATATCCAAAAACTTTTCCCACTAAATTATCTATTATAAACGTCACCTGCGAATTTATAACGCAAACATTAAAAATGGTTGCAAATACTTAGTGTCAAATATTAAATTATTGCCATGCACGTTTACTTCCACTGAAACGTATTCCAAAATGCTACAAACATATAATTTACAAAATCACTATTATTTAATTAAGATACAATTAAATTAAAAACACTACTTAAAATATAAATAACACATACATTAAATTAATAAAAATTAGCTTAAAATCTTAATTACTTTAAACTAATTCATTGCTAATAACAATTTTCCAAGCAAGATGTTGAAAACCTTCATCCTCCAAATAGACATATGACTTCCAGCAATCATATATTATTATTGTACCCGGTAGAATATACTGCTTAATAAAACTTAAAAAGCAATCTTTACTTCTATCTCGCACAACCTTGAAAAAACACTTATTACTACCCCTTTCAATCTCACTAAACACCCATTTCGAATTCACTTTACATAGGGCCATGGGATCCAAAAATTAATTAACACTGTTTCTTACAACATAGAATGAAGCTAAATACAAAATGCTATAAAGTACTGCAGATATTTTTCCAGATTCCCCCCTTTTCCGATTAAAAAATGGTGATTCGTCCATTTATGTCACATGACATATCTCATGATCTCTCAATCCGTAATTGGAACTGGGTACTTCTCACATTATTGCCAAAGTCCTAGGTAGTAACCTTTATCGCCTACCAAAATGTCGCCAAACTGCCTGTTACCATATTCCAAAGATTAGTCAATAAATTAACATAACAACAATAATAAATTTCAAAGAATATCATGCACACAGCGTTCTGTTTCAACTTTAAGAAACTTCTACAAATTGCACAATCTAGACACTACGCACTAATCAACAAAATAAACTAAAATAACTAAAATAAATTTCAAACAATTCAAAAAAAAAAAAAAAAAAAAAAAAAAAAAAACATAATGACAGAAATTCATACTAAAAAAACAATGAATATAACATTCTATAAAATAAGAGCAAGAATAAAATAAAATGCACTTACCATGAATTAATGCTTTTTCGAACAGCAGAAATACCAATTTCATACCGCCTTTAAAATGCCGCCACGTAATCACTATCGTATTTATATGACAGCCAGACACACTATCCAGAAAATCCATACTATGGTTCACAAATAATCACAAATCCCTACTTCTGTCATGCACAGCCACTAAAAATAATCTCCCAGACCCTTTTTCCACTCCTCCAAACACCCACTTCCCCTCAGCAGGATGGCCACTATGATATTTCCTTTTGCCGAACTTCAATTCAACAACTTCCACCATTTCTTTCCTCCCTATCTTCTCAGACACAGACGCGAACCAACGAGCTCCAACGAAAGATTTTTCAACGTCAACAGGGTTGCCATACAACACGCAATCGCGCCAAAAACCAGCGCAGAACACATATCGCCAGATTTGGTGAAATTAGGGCGTATATCAGAGTTGTACTAGAAAAACTGACTTCACAGTGATTATTCAGGGTTACCTAAAACCAAACAAATGATTTTCGAGGGTGTTGTAATGTTACTCTCGTCCCTTATTCTGAAATAATCCCTTAGTTTGGCGACAGGTTTTGTTTCTCAGAAAAGGTCGACCGAGAAAACGCAAGTACCCGAGCTTCTTATGTTTATGGTATCTAATTTTGCTCTAAAATATGGGCCACCTAGTGAATAACTTAAATATTTTTCTACCCTCAAAATGGAAAATTGTTAGTGAAACATGCTAAAATCATCTTCTTTCAACAAGAAGAAGTACCGCGACTCTTCGCGAATCGTTCAAGATGTATTCAGTGTCAGTTTCTATAACGGCGGCAGAAAAAGGCTCGCCAAGAAGTCTTAATCTTATCCCTTTAGACATTTTCCTCTGAGACTGCCAAAAATGAAAGCTGCATGAAGCTTTTGATGACTTCATGAGCAGAATCATACAAGCAATAATAAGAGCTTTCATTTTACTGAGCATGTACTTTCATAAAATATAATCATTCAATCTCTGCGAACCCGTGCATAGCCCTACTTTTAGTTTCCCAACATAGTCAATAACAGCAACAAAAAAAGGGGGCAGGGGGAAAGAACGTTTTGTTTGTGTAAAAAAACCACATAATCTGAACTCAAATCAAGGTGTTTTATTCGCCCAAAATAACAATAAATAAAATTAATGAAATTCTCACCTTCAATTTTTGTATTAATAATATTTTAACAACAACAACAAAAAAAAAAAAAAAAAAAAAAAAAACCTCTCTATCGACGACGAATTTAAGTTAATAACTGGATTTATTGAATTATGGAAAAACGCATCTAAACTATCTGAGCAAAAAAATCAATGTTTTTTAGGAGATCTTTCTAAATGAAACCGGCTCTCATTCGTATTACATACGGGGTTAGGTTATTTGAATGTGGCAAAGCATCCGAGGGCTATCTTCCAAAGGGTAGGTATGGCTTTTTTAAAAATTTTCTAATAGGAAATGGCTGAGATTTGCATTAAACATGCGGAAACCGTGAAAGCGAGCCATACATTTACCTCGTTTGCTTGAATTTGTACCCGAGTCAAATTCCCAGTATTCAGCGGTCTTAATCGCTCGGCTTCTAGTGGGAAATTACTCGCAAGGAAAACTATTAAAACACAATGTCGCCAAAGCTGTTCGCCAGGATGTGAATTCGGACGATTGGATGTGAACAATGCCAGGATGTGAACTATCTGATTGATCACTGGTAGGCTTTAAATTGACGAAGAAATTGAAAATACGTAAATAATTTAACAACGATATGAATTTTAAATGCTTTAAGAATAACAAAATATCGAAAAGTGTATTTCTACACTGATTTAATTGAAAGAAATGCAATTAATAACACTCGAGCAACTTCTCTCCCTTGTATATCTTACACGAAGTAATAATTTGGTTCAGAATATGATTAATTTCGCACTGCGACGCCATGCACACATGTAGAATTTAAAACAATGGGAAAAAACATTTATTCATATATTGTAATAAAATCTTAATTTGTAGAAAATTTTTACATACCTCTTTGCTTAAATAATCAAGAATTCTTTTCAGTATCTCTGCTGGTGGTGTAGGTCTGTAAAGGCTGTAAGCTTTGGCTTGCTCTAATTCCTCGAACTGCTTACACGGCATCGTGATAACACAGATATTTCGGAAGACAGTTGTTACGATACTTACCCGAACTCTTAAAAATTTGTAACTCTTATTAACATTCCGAAATTCATAAAACTACTCATATCAAATAAGATGAGTCTGAATGTATAAGTATTCTGTTAGTTATTTATCAACCACATTTAATTACTTTCAATGCTATCTCATTTTATTATAAAACATGACAAGACGGTGAAACTCTGTTATCCTTGTAGTTTAAACAGGAAAATATAAAAGTATTTTTAAATTCATTAAATATACAAGCAAGACGTTTTGTATATTAACAAAGATAAAAGCGTCTGTGGTATGACACTGTGTCTGCAATTAAGCCGCAATATGTAACGGGGTATGTCATCGTATTTCGGAACAGGAGGGTGAACAAACACGTTAACGATGTTTTGCTACGTCAAGGCATCCTGGAAATGTGATTCATTTTAGCACTGCCAACATTTTCAAAAACAGAGAAATAATACCTCCTTAAAGGAAAGGTAAAGGTCGTTTAGGTAAAGGTCGTTTCAAGAAGAGAAATAAGACTATCTGAAAGCAAATTTAGAAAATGTTTATTTGAAATATTTTTAAAGTACATATGAATAAACTGTAATATAATCTTAAGCCGATAACGAGTGAGAATTTAGCAATTTACGCAAACCGTTAAAATTATTTTATGCATATTTGCGAAATCGTAAATATAAAATTATTAACACCAGATAAACCATTTCACATCTGAGATAAACAACCAAAGAATGATTCGTCGTTCCTATTCTTGCACTATGAACCACTTCTGAACAAACATATGCAGGATGGCTAAAATTTAATGGTAAAGTTTTTCGGTGTTAGTTTTACGTATTCCGTCCACACGCATGGCTAGAATGCTCCATGTAATGCTTGCCGCAGTGGTAGTTACGTTTGGGTAGACAAGAAACCGAATATTTTTAACATAAAATGAATATTTCGTGTGGATTCCAAAAGAAGAAATAAAAGGGATAATGTTCAGAATACGTGTGGAGGGGGAGTCAAAGTGTGTTTTCATTTCGATAAACCTCAACTGGCCTAGAAAACGAATATTTAAAACATTCTACACAATCCTTGGAAATTATGCAGTATCCCATTTTAGTGAAAAATCCTGGAAATGAGTTGCACCGAAGTAGACTATTAGAAACCTAAAAAAATGCAGATCTAGAAAATTCAAAAGAAAATATTGTTTATAAAATTATTTGTGGGTGGGGGGGGACGAGTCAACTTCCCCCAGGAAAAGTTGAACATAGAGCTCTAAGATCTTGTCGGTTTGCACTGAGCTCACTTTTGCACACACGAAAAGCCCTTTTTAATGCAGTGCAAAGAACATCAACTTTGCACTGCATTAAAGGGCCTTTCTCATCACAGATGAATCTCAATTCAGACTAACTACTGATTTGAAACGTATCATCACCTGGAGAATCTTAATTTTAACGCACTCGCTACCTGCCCTCCAGTATTCGAGAAAAGAGAGTCACAGAGCTCTGTCTTGTGAGATAAAGAACAGCATTCAGACTGGACTCAGCTGCTAAAGTCCGTACAATTCATGGAAAGTTGTACCCCTCATAAACTGATGCTAGTGGAAGCTCCATAACACTAATTTCATTGAAATACCTTGAAACATTCAAATGGCCAAATATGAAAACCTAAACTTTAACGTTTCAAAAATGTTTTGACCAACCTTCCGTGATCAATTAATGAAACTCCTAAACGTTTGAAAACCCTCCTCATTTTAAACAAAAGTTAAATTTATTGTTTTTAAAATTAATTAGTGCCTTCACTTTTCCTGAGCCCATAAGCCTGCCTCTTTCCATTTCAAAATGACTGTCTACTATATAGCGTTAAAAAATTCCGTAAATCAAAATACCCAGTCATCCTGAGTGAGGAATCAGGTAATTAAAACTCTTACTTCTAAGTATTAGAGTATTACTTACTTTTAAGTACTAGAGTAGTCGGGCCGAGAACAAAATGGCCGGCTAGGTCGAAATATTAGATAGCGATGCTTTTTGTTACATCGATGGGCACATGGTGTGAATCCACGAGAAAGATATTTGTAAGTGTATTGTGCTTTTGCGTCATGGAACTCACCTTTAATACGTGGCGAGTTGAAAGTGTTCTCGAATAGGTTTCTTTTGTTTATATGGCGGACACTAACCATTTTCAGGCATTCGCCACTATTAAGGCCAGAAGTGGTGGCCATTTCATTATGAAGACGCTTCCTAACAGGAGGCCACAGTTACCTCCTATGAAAAGGACGGACAATCTACATCCTTTTCGTAGGAGACTTTTATACTTTTATGGAAAAGAAATTCATAATTGTCAGTATAGACTGAATTCTTATAATTCCGTTTTCTCAAGCAGAGCGTGCAGCGGTCTTACAAGCTTTAAAATGGATTAAGATGAATGTTTACAATAAAATTATTGTTAATTTATATACTGATTGCCACTCGTTGCTTCAACTGCTCTCCCGCCCCGACAATACAAATTTGCTTATTGTGGGTATAAAATTGTTGCTTGAAAATATGCACCCTAATATTATGTTGCACTGGGTCAAAGCTCATGTTTGGTATGCCGTAAATGAGAGGGCCGACATTTTGGCTAAGGAGGCTGTTTCTAAAGAGAACATACCATTTATGGAAATATCTGGCTCCAAACGAGTAGCTTTAACTCTCATGAAAGAATACTTTAATAATAAGTGGAAAGAACTGTGGAAAAACTCTGATAGGAAGAAAAACCTACTCATAGATATTAATATTTCAAATAAAATGTTTATTTACAATGATATAGATATGAATCAATTGATTACGGGACATGGGAGGTTCCCATATTACTTGAATAGTTTAATTTACAAGACAATGAATTATGTTTGAATTGTGGTGTTCCAGGAAATGCCAGACACTTCGTGGTGGACTGTCCGCTAATAGATACTATTAGAAAAATTTTAATAATGCATCATTTGATTTTAAGAATTTTAATTTTAAACATTTTAAGCATTTTTCAAGAATTCTAATGCGCTTTGTTAATAATAATAGGCAAGTTGTTGGCATTTTGGTTTGGGGGATTTACTTTGGTGGTGCAGTAATTTTTAGGAGTTTTAATTTAAATTTTTAATTACACTTGGAATTTAAGGGGTTTTAATTCTTAGTTTTTATGTGTGGTGCCCTGTCAATTCCAATGTGTTGTTTGTTTGGTAGTGTTTTATGTTTGTGTTATCCTTATATATGTACCTTTCGTTATTTTTTCTCTTATACTAACATATATTTTTCTTGGTTAGTTATTTTTGGTTTTATGGGTGCCCCTTTAAGATCAAAAGATCACTTCGTCATCAGGTGGGTGGGGAGCACTCCAGCAATCTGACAATCTACATCCATTCCTTCTAAGGGATTCGAAACCAGGCTCTTTGGTATCGCAGTCGGCCTTCCTAACCGCTATACCACCTGGCCGGCAATAGATTGGTGGTAGTAGAACAGAGGTGGTATTTTCCACCCAAATTTGGATGGGAGTGGGCAATGCCATCTATAAGGTACCCAAAGTTCATGCCAACGACAGATGCAATTCTGCGCTCTTCGCCACATTGAAGTTTGTGGACTGACTCTGGTGTTACTGCCAGACAAGTAAGATAGTCACAACAACGACATAGTACACTAATAAGCAAGTCCAAAAGAACATTTACAGTATGCTCAAAATCAACGTTGGTCTTGCTACTCTTTCATCACCTTTGCTTAGCACTTAACCGTGTCAGTGTGTTCCCAGTATAATACTGAGTGCAATACAGAACAATAATTCATTACAAGTGTTAAACTCTGGTCTATGGTTTTTGTTAATTGTATTTACGTACACACTGCAAGCATTAAGTTTTAGTCTACTTACTTATGTACTTATATATCATTTGTATTATATATATTTAGCATTTCTAACTTTGTCTTATCTTTTATTATATGTCACTAACGATGCACATTTCCTGTATATTCTTATAATTCTGTCACTCATACAACATGTTTTCACATAGCAACGCTATATACAGTATAATGATTCTTCTCCTTTCTGACTATGGCATTCGTGGTGTAATTGGTAGCATGACCGACTAGCAGTCAAAAGATCTGGCGTTCGAATTTAGGCGAGAGTATAGCTGATTTTTCGTATTCCTTGCTTTGAAAAGCTTAATTGACTTTACAAATTTATTTACAAGCTAGCTGCAAATAATGTATAAAATACTCCCAGCTTATTGTTCTGTCCGAAATCCGAAAGCATATTGTAGGGGGTTCGTAATGGAATGAATGCACACAGAACCGATGATAAGTTGATAAAATTTATTTAAAAAAAAGCGCTTTACAGTTCTGGAACTTTCCATAAAAGTATTGGAACAGTTCTTCTCAATATGTATGAGCACAGTCAGTAGTTACCACTTCAGACTACTAAAAAAGTTAAATACAGCTCAAAGCAAAGGACATATAAAGAGCGAAGCTCACACGAAGATCTCTCGGTACTGCAAATTCAACTCTGAACTAAAAACTGAGAACTGATGTTTACTTTGGATTTATATAGTTTTCCCCGGCCGCAGAGAAATCTGTAGTACCTTCCATTTCTCGAAACTACTAGAAGGCATATGCGGTTAAAGTTACATATAAAGGCCAGATACAGTTATAGTTACATATAAGGATCAATTAGAATTATTCACTTTATAGTACCAATTACAGTTATACAGAGACCAGACCAAAACGTCGCCAAATAATCGCTAGTGACTTTCAGCGGCTTCTCGTCAAATTTGGCCACAAAAATTACTCGCCAAAATCATCGCCACCTCGGCGATATCTTGCCAATTTAGCGAGATAGCCATTGCCCTCAGTGTTAAATAGACTTGCCCCTGTTACCTTATTTTTCCAGCAGAACTTCATTTTCAAAGCATTTCTTGTTGCATTATACAAAACATACTACAACTTCACGAATAACTTCACTAAAATTATTTATATATATACAAAATTCGTAACAATATGTTATTGTACATATGATATTCAGTTTTTGTGCCTAAGTTTCTTTATTTTGAGCACCAGCATTATAATATATTCTACTGCAATCGTACTGCATTCTACTATATCATTTTGTATATATCACCAGCTACAAGATCTGTATGTCTGTTCGTGCAAGACCTAGAATACTGTCAGTACAGCATATTTTCCTCTGTCTTTCTGAAAACTCTTTCCACTGGATGGACATACCAATCTTGCTCACAGCCAAGCAGCTTGTCAGCGGTGGGAAAAAAATTACAAGCATACATAAATTAATACAAAAGTATCTTATATGCGAAAAATATCTTTATTAATGTATACAAATTTCTATACTTTTTATACATCAATATATTTCAAATTTAATAAGGTTCTTTCTGGTGCATCCATCAATTTAAAGCACTCATTAAGCATTCACTTTTCTACATATGATGACCGTAAAGTCTCTGTAGACTTTAATGGTGTCTTCAGGTGATATGTTTTCAGCAGCAGCTATTTCTTGTAACCTGAAAAATGAATAATAGCATTCCTCTCCTTTATGTTAAATCACTAAGCATAAAAACAACATTACAAAAATTAAAGAAATTAGTAAACATGTAAGTATTAAACATTATACGTTAAATTTTATTTCGCGTTTCCAGTTGCTCTTCTGGTACAGACTATGGTTTTTCGGTTCGGGAATCGTAAAAATTGAACTGTGATCTCGCTGCATTTCGAGCCACAGATCTTCCAGGTTCTGGGTGGGCAATTTTTTACATTCTCGTCTACTTAAAGGGCGACTGGCCAAATGCACAAATCTCAGTTAACCAGATCGAGGTTATTGTCCACACATTGTACTTCGGATGCCACTGTGAAGACTAGATTCATTCTTAATAGAAGCCATGCCCGTGGATTCGGTGTATACCATATTATATGAGATTCAAATATAAGGGGTGTTCAAATGAAAATGATACGAAACATCGTAACAACCAAACCGGTTGAAATTTGAAGAAGCCGCTTTGGGATAACGCAGAGAGACATCTAAAGACGCGAACTTAGTGTCCGGTGTAGTTGTGCGCAAGTGCCCCCATATGACGCAGGGAAGAAGTAGGCAGTTGTGTGTTCCATCCAGTTGATGCAGCAGTGCGTATGAAAAGATCCATGGCGTTCCATATTGCAAAATTCGACGATTGAGGAGCAGCGGGGCGTTATCAGATTGTAGAGACATTAGGATTTTTTGGAAGCAAGAGAAAATGAAAAATTAGCAAACGCCTTCGCCGGGAATCGAACCGCTGAACCTCTGAAATACCGGCTCAGTGTGTTGACCAGTAGGCACGCTAGGAAGGCGGGAGAAATACCTTATAAGATTTATGACTATAAAAGAGGTTTAGCCGACATTTATTGCCAGATGGTGGCCGTATGCGGAGAAGGCTGAGTGTCAGACAAGTCAGGCAGAAAGTGCAGTGCCCGCTTTCGTGAAGGCCGGAAGTGTTTGAGTGATAACCAGAGACGAGGCTAGGCAAACACGGTAATCACGGCCGAACTCCTCGACGAGGTGAACGACCTGAAGAAAAATGATCGGCGTGTCACAACACGAATGCTGGCACGGATGGTGGGGGCCAGCGTTGGAACAATGTGAACAAATGTGCACGATAGTTTGGGTTACCAAAAGGTGTGCGCGCAGCGGGGTCCGAAAAAGCTTAGTGGAACACAAAAGGAACTTCATATGGGGCTAACAGTACAACCAAATGTTCCGATATCATGATGGTGTGGTGTATTTAATTACGGCAAAGCACACTAGGGCTATCTGCCAAAGGGGAGGGATGCCTTTCGTGGAGGACTTTCTAAGGGAAACTGGCTCGTATGCACGTTACACATGAGGAAAACCACGAAAACCGTCATGCAGCCAGCCCGTTCGCGGGATTCGAACCTCGGACCGAACTACCAGTGTTCAGCGACTTTACCGCTCGGCCGCTGGTGAGCCCCTGATATCATGAAGACTGCTTTCCTGGAGCAGATCGTAGCCGGTGACGAAAGCTGGTGCCATTTATTTGAGCCAGAGACCCTCCTAAACATTAACAGTCACGTGTACTGTGAGACATTCCGTAACATACGCAAGAGCAAGCGGCTTGTGGTGCTCACGGCGGGAGTGATTCTGCTTCACGATAACGCGCGTCCACACGTCTCCAAGGTCACACAGTGTTATGGCCAAGTGCATGTGGAGCAGCTTGAACATGCCGCCGGCATGTCGCCCTGCGATTTCCATGTGTTTGGCCCGCTGAAAACACATCTCAGATGGAAACGTTTCAACTCGGACGACGAAACTGCATGATACAGTGGAGGTCTGCCTCCTGTCACAATCACAGAAATTCTGGGAACAGACAATCGCTCAGCTCGTGAAACAGTGGAGTACTTGTGCTCATGCATGTGGTGATTACTTGAGAATAAAGCATTCAGTTATACCCACAGTGTCGTTTCGTACCTTTTCATTTGAACACCCCTTATAGATTTTACTTGAAGTATATTGTAGCCACTCGAAGTGCATGACTGGTGTAGAAATGAGTCATTGAACACTCCATGACTAGGCACTGCCTGAAGTATCCTACTGAGCACTTATATGAGAATCTGTATATTGGCTCATGTTGGCATCCAAAAAGTAAAACTTCTATATGAATAGCCATAAAATTTGACATACCCTCACAATGTTTGCAACAACTCGTTGACTTGACATCGAAATGTTTCGTTATTTGAGTGCATAGGGAAGCTAAGCAGTATTAGATCAAGTTGCTGATTTGGCTTCAATGTTCTCTTCGAGGTATATTGCGAGATCTTGAAATAGGAATAATTAAACTTTAAAAAAATTACCTGGAGCTAAAATGTGATAGAAAAGCTTCTGCCTTCTCTTTCTCTTCTTTCAGGTAGTTTTGGAAACCAGAAAATGTGCTCACGTAGCCAACAATGTCGGTCAGACGACCTTCGAAATACTCCCGGAAATCGGGCATTCTGCAAACAAATATAATATAACAGACATTATTTCAAAATTAATGTAAAATGTTCAAAATTAAAATAAACCGTAGCAAAAGAATTTCATGCTATAAATAAAAGCTTACCGTTGTACTTCTTCAAATGGAAAATCGACATCTTTGTATCTTTCCATTGCAATCCGAGCTTTGGGATGATGATAACGTCTTGTTTCTTTATAATGCTGGAGGAGAAAAATTATACAAAAATTAGTTAAATGCCAGCTAGACAGAAAGAGGAGCTAAACATTTAAATTTCAGACAGTCAGTCATTAAACTTTTACAAGACATTTTTTTTTTAACCAACAGTAAAAACGGCTATGAAATTTGCAACTGATTCCCAAATACATTTTAAATAATGAATAATCAAAATTCTCATCCACATTTATAACAAGTACTGACTATATATTTTTCACAAAATTTCTTTATTGTATATTCTTTATCTCGTCCAATATAAAACAATATGACACATATGGCAATGCCCGAAACTTACTCGTATTAATTCTACGCACAAATTGTTTTTTTTTTTTCACTGTAGCTTTTATTATAAGTTCATAACCAATTATTTAATTTTTTCTGTTCTGTCTCCTCTGACTTCGAATACCGAAATACTCACTCAGGGAAAAGATATGAATTAACCACCACAAAGAAAATGGAACCATGACATGCAGTGGAACCATGTCAAGAAATCTTTCAGAATTCAGAGAGTTCAGAACTTCTTAAAAGGCCGTATCATTCATACAAAATATTTTTATAGAACAATTTTTTAGTGGTTTCTGCTTTTTCACATAATATAACACAGCCAATTACCAAGGATTATTTTGCTGTTACCCTGTAAAGGGATAACTGGTTTTCCATTACAAATACGAAGACCATCAGACAAACTCCCATTTAGTTCGGGGCTGATTGGGAGAAAACGCACAATCTGCAACAGAAAGCAAGAAATCTCGCATCCGTTTTGCAATGCTAGAGCCGGTAAAAAAATTGTTTTAAAACATTTTTTATCAGAGGCAAAACGGATGTGTGATAATACCCTTAAAGAGAAACTTTTAAGGGTAGAATAAAAAGGCTTCACACTTTTTGCGAGAGAAACCTTTTATTTGGGAGGGAAGTTTTGCGAAAACGGTTGGTAAAATTTTCAGCCGAGGCCAGTTCCAGACGCCACTTGTTGAGAGTAAAATACGACCCTTTCGATTAGTTTGATTTATTCAATTATGGCAAAGCACTCGAGGGCTATCTGCTTCGACCCCTTTCGAACTTAGGGTATAGCATTAGGAATTTTCAAAATAAGGTTACACATTTATTTTATATAGCAATAAAAACTTAGTTAGATAAATGAGTGTCTTGGATAATCACAATCTGACTCACTTCTTCAACACAGTATCTTGGAGATGTTCATATTAAACAAGACTTTGCTGCTCACCTCCCAAGAACACTTGAAACAAACGTGAAGCACAACGTTTTGCGCAACATTTGCCATATCCTGATAAATTAAATTTTTATGCTTATTTATGCCCGGTAGGGTTTGATTGAAAACTTGAGCTTCTGAATGCCTCGTGTGAACCTGCCTAACAAGCACACAGGTTTGTCTCCTAAACTTAATAAGAAAAGACTTTTTTCAATTATTTTCCAAAGGCCCGAAGTTATACGAATGGTCTTAAGAGCTTTACTACACGAAACAGAATTGATGATTACATTGTACTGCTTATATATATATATTACACTCCTTATATCTACTACAAATATTTCTCCTAATTGTAAATTAGCGCGAAGCTGATAAACAGTTCAGCAATGTTTTGAGAAAAGTTATGTTGCGAAGCTTGTGTATTGATGCTGAGGAAAACTGTTGCCTCTAAACAACTCAATATTCTGACATTAAACAATTTACTAGAGTTCAATATTCCATAGAACAACTTCAATACTTCGGTCTGCAAGTTACAAGAACAGAAGTAGATATTCAAATACAAAGCAAAGATGTTTATGAATTTTACGTAGAAACATTTGATCTTTCAAGACAGGAAGGCTTCTACTCAGTACCTACCGTTGTTAAGTTTTAGGCACGCTCAGCTTGGATGCAAAACGTTGTTAAGTTTTAGGCACAGTCAGCTTGGATGTGACAGTCAGCCAAGATGTCTCATGCATGCACAAGATCATTTTCTGGATATTTGCCATCTTTCTGAAGACCCAAAACCTACTTTGTGGCGCCTTTGACAAATTTAAAGATGATGGCTTATCCTTTCTACAACTCAATTCGATCAGATTTCGTTATTTGGCCGCCCATGCTTTTATTATCCGTGACATAAAATTGAATATGAAATCTGCAAAGAGAATTACTTAATCTCTTGTTCACAAAAAACTCTATGATAAATTTTCTTTTAACTTATTAATGATTTTATGATAAATAAAACCTTATTTTATGAAAACAATTTTTTATCTCATTGTATTTTCATCTTTTAGTCTTAATGACACGTTGTCAAATAAGTTATTAAATTGAAACATCCAGTTTCAACAATGAATGATCATTCTTTTAATTCCCCAATTCGGTTACTTCAAATGGTAAAAAAAGAAAAAAACATTTTTGAAAATCCGACCCCTCCCCCCAAGAAAAAAGCTTTCAGATTTTACAGATTTCAGATTATTTAACGTTTTGTGTTACCTTTATTTATTAAATACCATATTCTTCGCACTTAAACCATAAAATTCAGTTCAGCATCAATACCGCAAAATAATTTTAAAATGAGCATATCTTTAGAATTTCCGATACATAGTCATGCGCGCTGGAGATAATTTTTTTTTTTCGTACAGTATTGCCATTGCTCGCTTTGAAATCGTTGAATTTCTTAATCAAAAATTCGTTGAAGTGTTACAAAATATGAAATCTCTACATATAATAAACAAAAGAGTCTGTCTGTGTGTGTGTCCTTCGTTCGCGCTGCGCGTAAGCAAATAGATCCACGCCTACGAAATTTTGGTACATAAGTGCATCTAGACAAGAGCCAGTGCACCTCGAAGCGATTTTTTCGAGATTCGAATTAGAATTTTTTTATTTTATGTTTTGTGACGAAATCGCGTCATTTTGAAACATAATGGGCTATAGGAAAGCGAGATTTTACTCTACACACTCCATTTTTACATCGTCATGAAACGTAGGCACTTAGCTATTTTACGAACTTAAAATAAATTTCGTGTTTCAATAAATCGATTCTATAAGAATTTATTTAACCAAAGGGAGCTTAACACCTTTTCAACGGGATTTTTTTTAAAAAAAAGTTTATTTTTAAAAATGTACAGTTTATTTTTCTTAGATTTTTGGACACGTTAAACGTTCATCCTTGCGACTGCTTTTACAAAAAGAATTTTGGAAAAATGATAATATTTTGTATTTTAAAAAGAAAATTTTAAATGAAGCTTCCGAGTACACTTCTCACATCTCACATCTTTTAAAATGTGATTTTGGCAACAATTTTCCTGTCTTATTGTGTTTGATAGATTTTCGATGAAATCGCATCATTTTGAAAAGTTTTCATTCTTTTAGAAATATGGGTTTGGGCAACAATTTTTCATCGTATTTCTTATGTCACTGTTTTTAAAAGAGATTGGAATATTTCATTGTCATTTTATTATATATATAATACATTTTTCATTGATTTTTTACTTCCTTGTACGAAGTAAAAAGGAAAGCATTGTAATCGTGAAAAGTTTCAGGCAGCATATTTCATTCAACGAAAATATCCATTTTGACCACTATCGAATGCAATTTAACAATGTTTTTGCGTAATATCTGTACGTAAGGACAGAATAAAATACTCTTTTCCTTCAAAAAAATTATAAAACTGCTTTAAAATAAATTCTGAAGAGAATTTTTCGTGGCGTCTGTACAAACGTATGTACGCACGTGCGTGCGTACGTACGTATCTCGCATAACTCAAAAACGACTAGCCTCAGAACGTTGAAATTTTGTATATAGGACTGCTATAACATGTAGATGTGCACCTCGTATTTTGGTTGCAATCGGCCGCATCAAACGTATATAAATATATATATATATATATATATATATATATATATATATATATATATCCCTTTGTTACCCCCGCTCAGTGATCTCAGTTTCTTTACTCTTACATGTTTGTAAATTGTACATTTTTTGCTTTAAAAATGATTGAATTATGTTGTTTTTATCTTCCGGTTAAGGATTTTATGCCTTTAGTAAATCTGTGTGCAATATTTTTAGAATTATCAGCAATTTTAAGGTTTTTTAATTGCCGCTAAGCCTGTTTTTAATGGCGGCCATTGATGTTTACATTTGAAACAGGAGACTAGTTAATTTGTTGCCAATCTAGAAAAACTTAGCTTCGCAACAACAAATATAACGCATTCATTTATTATTGCCAATTAAATCATGCTTAATTCTTTTTTTCTGGAATTTTTTTGAGGAAATAAGCGTTTGAGAGATTTACTTCGTAATTTTTAATTAGATATTTAGAGAGTTTTTATGTATTTTTGCCTTCTCGCGAAGTGAGAACTGAATTAATTAAATGAGAAATACTCAATCGTCTGTGAAAAACTGTTCCCTTTTGTTTTGTTTGCTTAATTTCTTTTTATACATAGTTCTGGCTGGCTTTATATAGTATTTGAATAGAACATGTGGCAACGAGTAGATAATTCTTTAAATGATATACATTTTGTGCATTCTGAGTTATAATATGAATGAAATATAATACTGTTAAGTAAACCTAGCGCTAGAGTGTCGCTATGGTAAACAAAGTGAATTTTAAAGAATGCATTTATTCTATTGTGGTTTATGCGCTGTCGGCGAAGTAGGTTTAATTCAATCTAATAAGTTTAAATAAAATGCAAGAAAAATGCGTATAACTTAATATTCCGTACAAGGAAGTCATGTGGTGTACACATCAGGTTTTTTTGATAAAGTTGTTCTGCAGAGGAAAATTCTGCGCGGAATTTTATGTTTTTTGAGTTGCTTTAATGTTATGTTTTGCTTATTTCACTGTTTGTAAGATATTGAAAAGTTTTGCATGATTTTTTTCCTTCAACGGAAAGTTGGTTAATTTTTTTATTAGGATAATTAATATTTGTATTAATTATTTCCTTCTAATTTTTTTCTCTTGAAAATATAAGATAAAATATCATTAATTATATTTGCTTTTCAGAATTTTTGGTTTTT